GTTACAATTGTTGCATTAATGCTAATTTTTTCTATTTCATTTTAACCTTTTATAACATATATTAAAAAAAATTTTTTTGTAAGAACCAACTATATATTAATATTTAATTTTACTCTTTTGTTGGTCAATATATGATTTTTAATTCAAAATTTTGTACGAAAACATTTGAAAAATAAATAAAAAAATCTTGCCAAATTGTCAAAATAAATTATTTTTTTCAAGATGATATGTTAAAAAAAATAACATTTTGAATAAAATATTTTATAATAAAGACACTTTTCTTGTACACATCCTACACTTTACAAGAAAAAAGAAACAAAAACCTGGAAATTTTAAGATTTTTATCTGGAAAACCTGGAAAAATCAGGGAAATTTGAAATCTGATTTGAGTGGCTACCCTGGTAGTTGTTAGCCTCATTGTGATGTAAATTAGATCACCAAATAAATATGAGTGACCAATACTCGTACATGTTTTCTTTCACGTAACTGATTCACTTACTTGCATGATGTTTTTACTCTGCTTTACTGCTCAACAGTGATCTGATAGTGTGCTGTTTGATGGATCTGGTTAGCATCATGCACTGCTAACTGATATGCTTTTATTGACAATAGATGCTATCAAGTAAGCCTGCAAAGTATGGAGATGCCACATTAGACAAAGAAATCTATCCATTGCATGTTTATTATTGTTTGTGAGTAGCAACCTATAGTTTGTCCACGGTAAGAACTCCCCCCATCGCAAAGTCTGAGACTGCCTGCTGCTATGGAAACAGGAATTGCGCACTTCAGGGAGGGTAGATTGTCTTCACTTTAGGACTAACACAATAGACCGGAAAAAACAATTCTCTTTCGCTCGCCGACCAGAGCCAAAACCTGTCTGAAACAATGACCCCACACCCCTGCTTGAAATAGTTATGTCTCGTTACCGCAGTCAACGCAGCAGGTCCAGATGAATGGGTAGCGAAGTTCTTACTTTAAACAAATTGTAAAATTTGCTTGTGAGTGATGCAAAGTTCACTGTCTAACTACTATCTGAATTAATATATGAACCTATAAATAAAGTTTCTTATTTTCCTTACTATCTCTTGTGCAATCATGTGTGTAAACCAAGTGCAAGACATTTCATAGTCTTTAGGTCTTTTTTAATGATATAATCAAATTGTAAAAATTTTCCTTCAAAATTTTTCTTAATTAGGTTCTTTAATTATATTCTCTTCTAGTTAAGCAATACAATTACTTATGGACATTACTCGAAAAAAGATAGTTATTTTTTCTAAAAGAAGCTTATTATTTTTTCTCAAATATAAAATTTTTTTTCATAATCTTTTTCTAAATTATGCTCTGCTGGTATACATTATATTTTAATATTTTTTAATTTTTATATAATTTATGAGGTTATTATTTAGCACTTCTACATTTTTAATTCATTATTTTAGTGTGTACTGTTAGCTATAGCTTTTAAGCAAATTTGGATTTTACTAATTTCTTTCGCTTTCTTTTAGTGTCTTGTTTATAAAAAAGCATTAAAGACAAATTCTGCTACAGGCTTAGATACTGGAGCTCTAGTCAATCATATGTCTGTTGATGCTTTTAATATGTTGATGCTCTTTTCCATGGGCCATTATATTTGGGCTGTACCTTTAAAGGTATGTAACTGTAAAGTTATAGCTCTCTTTTTTTGAAAAAATTTTATTCAAAAGTATTTTTTTATTATTTTCTGACATACTTATTTTTAGCTATTCAAAATATATTTGAATTTTTTTTAATACTTTGTTTTAATTATTTTTCTTGAAAAAATAAATAGTTTGTGTTATAAAAATATTTTACAATCTTGTGTATAATATCACCTTTATTTATATACCGTTTTTAAGTAAATTAAATCTTTATATACTGTTATTGTTTCCAACAAACTATGATATTTAACAGAACTATTAGTTGAGTGGCAGCCAATAGGGGGAAAAAAATAATTTAAAAAAATTATCTTTAACAAATGTTTTTGATTTTAAAAGTATATTTAAATAAATATTAGGCAATGTTTTTTTCTTCTTTTATCTGATAAACTGGATTTTTGTTGTAATTTATTTAGAAAATCTAGAATAGTCAAAAAAAATTTTTTTCAAAAATTCATTTTAAGTTTAATGTTTTTTTTTATAAAAAAAATCCAATTTTTTTATAACAATTATGTATTTTGTATAATTTCAATTAATAATCTGTTTTGAAACCTAAAATATACCTGTTCTAAAAATTGAAAAACAGAATTTTTTTTCCAGGTTGTTCTTCTTTTGGTTCTTCTCTACCTCCAACTTGGTTACAGTGCATTGATTGGTGCTGCTACTGTAATTTTTTTAGTTCCCATACAGTATTATATCTGTACATTATTATCTCGGATTCAAAGTAAAGCTTTGGTGAGTGAGTATCTGCTTATTATGTTAATACATCTTTTTTTTAATTTCAAAAACTATTCAACCAATTTAGCTCAAATATTAGAATTTATCACTCTAAATTGTGTAATTTAAAAGGATACAAAGCATTTTACATCTTACAATTTAGAATGTTTTTGATTATTATTAAATTTAAGAATAAAAAGTATTACTTTTACTAAAAATAATTTTTCTACTTAACTGTATATGAATAAAAAATTTTATTCATAGCTACAAAGATATTTTGATACTTTATATTACAATTATTAACAACAGTCAATAAAGATATAGACAAAAGTCATTAAGCCAAAACTATTCTATTTAGGAAAAGGCAGTTGATGCAGAGATGAAGAGAATTCACACATTTTTCATTGTCCCGCAGTGGACTGATCATTAAGACACGGTTCCCAACAAATCACCGAAGTCAAGCATCACTGGCTACGATTAGTGTGCCGGTGGGTGACCACTTGGATTAGTCTGCGTAGGGACCAAGGGTGTGCGGTATTTGTCCTCTTAAACTGTTTGACCGTAAAGTGCTCGACTTCGCGTGCAGGTCATCGAGCTACTGAAGCGGGGGTGCCATCCCCTCTGCAGAGGATCAAAATTGTGATGGCATGTCTTCAGATCATTCAGGGATGTTTCCCAGACCGTCGACAATAGTTCATTGTGCACCTGTAGTGCGACGTAAATGAAGTACAACTAAAAATAATTTTTCTAATTAACTGTATATGGATAAACAAATTTTATTCATGGCTACAAAGATATTTTGATACTTTTATGTTACAATTATTAACTAGTCAATAAAGATATAGACAAAAGTCATTAAGCAAAACTATTCTATTTAGGAAAAGGTAGTTGATGCTGTGATGAGAAGAATTCACACACTTTTCATTTGTTAGGCTTACAATGCTTTTCATTCCATCATTGATTTTTAAAATAAAATGAGAATTGTTCAGATGTTGTGATTCATAATTTCTGTTTCTGTAAGTAATGTGTTATTAAAGGACTGGTCACAAAGAGCTCATGCTTGTCTTGTTATGGGAGCTAGAGTAAATTATCGGTGTGTAGAAATCTTAGCAAAACTCGGAAAAGTAATCAAATCTAAACATTCCAATATACAATCTTGTAAAATCACCATGCTGCTTGACAATGCTAGACCTGTCATGTCAGGGAATTTCTGCAAAAATTGAAATGAGAAGTTTTGATACATTTTTAGAGCTCCAATTTGTCCCTATTTGCATTTAAAATTGTTGACGTATGCCTGTTTAGGCAGAGGGGGAGCGATTGTTCTTGTTTTCCAGTAGCGCCATCTATGGCCAAGAATTCGACTTCTGCCACACCATATGTCGCACCCGTTTATAGGGCAAACCCATTCATACATCCATTCAAATATCCACAGATTGTAATTTTGACCTGAATCAGAACGATCGATCTCCAATCCAGTACCCCCAGAGGTATTGATTTGTTATGGGAACATGGAAGACTTTGGCGACTCGACAGATTTAATGTGCATCAGTCACTTTACTACACGGGGAGTTTTCGACCGGCGGGATTCGAACTCTCGGACATGAGCTCAGCGCCCTACCGACCAGGCTATCCCGACCTATTTAAAATTGTTGATGAGTTCAAAGAAGCACTGAGAGTATATTGGTTTCAAAGGGAATCAAGGTGTGCATGTACAGTTGATCTGAATAGTTTGCTATGGTTATTTATGGGCATGGAACTATACAACTATTGTCACAATGGCAAAAGTTCTGAAACTCTATAACAATGTTTTTGAGTTTCGGTGGATGAATTGCATGAAATAGCCAGTGTAATTAAATCACTATGAAAAATAAAAGGTAGCTGGTAAAAATGAAAAGTGATCGAATATAAACATTTAAGTAAGCACTGACCATTCACAGTTAATGAAATAAAGGAATTTCTGCAAGAAATTCAAATGAGCACTCTTGAGCCAATGATCTTAAAAGTGCCCAAATCTGTTCCCTTGTGACTTGTGTGTTCTTTCATGCATTCAAATAAACTTTGTGATGACATTGTCAAGGTGTGCATGTGCAACTGGCCTAAACAGTAGCCAACATTTGTTTTTATGAGCATGGAATTGTGGATTTATTGTCATAAAGGCAAATGGGTCTAATCATATGAAAGTAAATAGCAGGGTTGCAAAAAGGCTTTTTTTTTTCAATCAATTTTTATTCAAAAAAGTCAATTTATACCTACTTTTTATTATTTTATTTTTCAAAATTATTATAAATGTATTTATCTTTATTTTATTAATGACTATGCAGTAAAATCTGATTAATATAAATTATGATATTAATTTTGCTTTCTCTTAAAGGTATTTATTCCTTAAATATATAAAATGTAATTAATGTTAATGAAATTTCTGTTCTATGTTAGCTTCGAACCTAGACATTTTTGTCTGAAAATGTTCTAAACCTATTTCTTTCATGTTTTCATTTTTCCTAACTATGCTTTAAATTGATATAGAATATTTATTTATTAAAATTGTAAAAATGCTCTATTAAAAAGATGGACTCTTAGTAATTTATTATAGTTAATTTTGTATTGTTCATATATTTATGCTGCATTAAAGAAGTTGATTTTTAATTGTAGTTTTAAGTAGTTTAAAATTATTCTTTTAAGGCTTCCGTGGTTAAAGCTGCTGCTTCAAACTATTTTGTAAGTGCAAAGTTGCTGCTCCAAATCGGTCATAACACACAATTACACCAATTTAATTAATTAAAAAAATTTATATTGTTACAGTTTTTGAAAATTGCAAGTGCTAATAAAAGCTGGCTTTTTTAATTTTAGCCAGCTTTTTTTAGGTGATTTAAACAAAGAAAAACCAGATTCACTTTTTTTGGCTTGGCTTAAAATCCGGAAACTCTGAATAAAAGGCTACTGACTCGGCATTAATTGACTTTACCTTAATTGAGCCACTTCTAGCTCAGTGGTTAAAGGCGCTGAGCTTTTATTGTAATGGACTGGGGTTCATTCTTCAGTGGCAGAAGCTCACCAAATTCAGATCAATGGGTATAGGTCTGCTTGGGAAGGTACTGACCACATTATTACAATCATGTTGTTGATCACGATATTGTTAAACCTCAACCTTCATGGCCCTCTGACCCACAATGGGTTGTAGTGGGGGCTAATTAATTTTCCGAATAATTTCTTGGTTAAAAAATACTATTACAGATTGATTAATGAAAAAATAAAACAGCTTTAAGTTAGTATTGCTTTTATGAAACTCTACAGACCTATTAAAACTTTATTTTTTCGCAATTTTTGTAGAGAAATTTTTGATTATTAATTTATTGTTTTTGAAGTTTACTATGATTCCAACATTTTTTCTAAATGCTGTGTATTAACTTAATTACTTGCAGTTAAATTGTTTTAATTTTTCTTCCTTTCTCTTACAGTTTTCATCTGGATAACTTCTATTATTCTGAACCTTTTTCTTACTTCTCTCTCTTGGTATTTTCTTTTTTCTATTTTGTGTGAATATCAATGTGCATGTGTGATAACTTTTAAAAATCAGTTGAAATTTGCAATTCTTGTTTTTTATTGTCATTTTGTAATTTATACTCCTTTGACTTTTTCTTGATTGGGAAAAAATGTGAAAATATTTCTTTCTTTCCTGATTTCTAAAATTAGATAGAATAGATATTTTTTCAATAAATGTCGAAATAGTTTTTTATTTGCTTTGTAATTAAAATATTATAAAAGTTTTAATTATTTGTATTTTATTTATATGGAATATATTTTTACAAAGCACTAAATAAGGACTTCCTGGAGATTAAGATTCTTTTCCTCTTAGAATGCTGTCTAACTTTGATCCTTTTTTTCCCTTTTTTATATGAATTTTTTTTAAATTTTTTTTTTGTGTGAAAATAATTATTCAATGAATAACAAACGTAAGCTTCAAATCATAAAAAATTTAAATAATAAGTTGGTAGGCAACCAATCTAAAAAATTCCTGTGAGAAATCATTACAATTATTATCAAAAATATTGTTATTTAAAATTTGTTTTAAAACTAATGATTCTTAAAATTTTTAGAATTGATGTGTCAGGGATAAGTTAGATAAGTCAAGGTTATAAATCTAGCATTTGCATTAGAAAGAACTCTATGAGTTCTTCTAATCTAAGCCTACACTCTCTCTTCAGGCCTTGAAATAAACGTTATTGGTCAAGTGGTCCAGTACCTCTGAAATTCAACTCAGACTTGAACCCCTGAACTAGCAAGTAATGTAAAAGGATAGAAAGTTGTCTTGATCTCATAAACACATCATCGTAACTGAGTTAAAAGAAGAAAAAAAATTTGTTATTTTTCAACTAAACTAAACCAACTTTTTAAAAATAAAATCCACTCAAGACCTGTATAGGGTCCAGTGAAAACGTTTATGGACCAGCAATATCTATTAGTTATATTCCTGAGGACTAGTCACTAAATTGTCTTAATTTTTACCCTTGTACCTCCGTTAAAAAATGTTTTATTTTATTTTAAAAATTGTTTGTTATAGGCTTATTAATAAAACTATACAAACCTATATAAACCTATTTTATTTTTTTAAAATTAACATATTATATTTGATATTTTAAAAAGAAAATAATCTAAATATTTTAAAAAGAAATATTAACTACTGTGGAATAGGTTTAAATGAATAATTACGTATATATTTTAAAAAGTTTGTTCTGTATTTATTCTTGAAAGGATGTTTCTGATGAGAGATTGAAAAAGACTACTGAACTACTTCAAGGAATCAAGCTGCTAAAATTATATGGCTGGGAAACAGTTTATGCTCATTTGGTGCAAAAAATTCGAAATAAAGAACTCAAAATTTTAAGAAGTGATGCAGTTTGTGTGGCATTTAATAGTGAGTATAACAAGTTATTGTTTATTTGTCATGGTCACTTCTAAACCATTTATGTTTTGAAATTTTAGTTAACTTACATGGTTTAACCTCGTTTTAAATTAATGATAAGAATTATGAAAGTTAACAACTAAAGTGAGGGGGAAAAAATTGTTAAATGGAAATTATTTTAGCAAAATTTTCCTTTTAAAATTTAGGAATTCTACTTTTGACATCTTTGAAAACTTTTTGCAAATAAATAGGGAGTTATTTTACAAGTTATAATGTAAGAATTTGAATTTATTCTTTTCAAAATGAATCAAATCAGCTTTTCAATTCAGCTTTTAGAGTTATTGGCTATCAATTATTTATTTCTCAAAATGATAGCATGGATTATTGCTTCCTAAACAAAAAGATAAATGAAAACTTGGGTCAGGCTATTGTTAAACCATATTATAAATTTTTTTTTTCTGAAGGCATCATGATTTTTATTTAGGCAATAACAGGTTTTTATATACAGGTGTAGAAGTTGCATGAAATAAATAATTTTATTAAATCTACAGATTTGGTAATTGTGGGAAGGTTACTTATTTTGATATAGCTGGCCAGGTGACTGAAGGATTAGCATGCTTGACTCAGGGTATCCGCGCACCGGGGAGTCATGAATTTCGGTATTGAACAAAATTTGTCATGATTTTAACTATTTTTTTAAAAAAATCATGGAAAGTCATGGATTTAGGTCACCAAAAAGTTTTATATTTAAAATGGAATTCCACTTCCCCAATTTCATGGTGTTCCGAATATCTGAATTTGTAACAAAATCCCCACTCAGAGTCATATTTTATTAAAATATAAAAGGATTTTTATCATGTTCTTTAAAAATTATGGTGTTTTTTCAAAAAAATGAAAGAAAAAACATCATTTCTAGAGCGCTGTATTTTTTAAACTTCTGTGATTGCAGAATTATTATTATTCATTTTTTTTATTTTATCAATTTAAAATTCTAGCTGAAGAAAGCCAGTCGTTGGCGATCCGAAATGAGAACAGAAAAATCAGGAGTATTTCTTTCCTTTCTGATGAGCAAGAAGGAAATAGATCTTTAGGATCTTTAGAATATAATTCTGCAAAAAGAAGAAAAAATTATTTGCTCAGCTATTTTATTGCTTTTACTCTGTTTTTTAAATTTGAAAACAAATATGAAAATGCAGAGTATAACAGTTTTGGTTATACCTATCATTTTAATTAATATTATTATAATGCTTTTTAAATTTATTATTCTGTTTTTGTCGGAGAAAGTAGTAACTTCGTTAAGTCATGAAAAGTTCTTGGAATTAGTCATGAATTTGAAAATCTGAATTGTAGCAGATACCCTTTTGACTGCAAAGCCCAATGGTTGCAGATTCGAATCCTGCTCAGGACATAGATGTTTCTCTCTGTGTATTGTCCTCTGTTATATGATGTCTAAATGTGGGCTACCTTTATAGGTATCTGTGGCAGCACCCGCTCTCTTGGGTTCACAGGTGTCTACTGGGTAACTTTAAATGAGCAACATTTTTGGCATCTTTCAAAGCGAAGAACTAGAGTTCAGTATCTGACGTTGAGAAAACAAAAACAAAAAAACTTTTTCTGTTATCCAAGCATATTTTTAATAGAATTTTTTTGCTCATGTAGGCTTTTGAAGGTTTTTTTTTTCTTTAATTTTGTATTAATTCTCTTTCTTTTAATAAAAACAATTTTAAAAGTTATTTTTTAACATAAATTTTCTTCATTTCAGCTTTCATCACTCAAACATCATCAATAATTGTGACACTAGTGGTATGCTATATATTAAATCATTAGTTTTATAGTTTCTTTTTAAAATCCAATTCCAACACTTTTAATTTTTTTTAAAATTAAATAAATATATTTTAATAAAATTTCTTTTATGTTAGACATTCTCATTATATTCGAAAATTGAGGGAAGACCACTCATGCCTGCTGATGTTTTCACAGGTCTAGCACTATTCAATCAACTTACTGTGCCACTCTACATAATACCTTTTGTCATCCCAATGGTTATCAATGCTGTGGTAGGTCTTTTTTTTCTGAAATATTATAAAATTAATTTTTTATCTATTCTAAAGAAGATCAAAAAGTTTGTCAAACAATAAATTCTATTGGTATTTGTGAAATTTTGAAGATATTACCAGTATTTTTAGTATATATTTTTATTTTATTGCCAATATTTGTTTTATTTCATAAATGCATGTTTTATATGCACTTTTTATTTCAAAAATAAAAAAAAACTTTTTTTTTCTTTAAGCAGTGCATATTATCTAATTTGTCTTTAACTTGAAAATTCTTAATTATATAAAAGTGCTTGTCAGTGAATCATTTTTTTATGTATGTGCGAAATGTTAAATGAATCTATTTAATTCGTACGAAAATACTTGTTTTAGGGGGATAAATCTTTAAGTAAGCTTGGATCAAAAATTTCCACAGTACACCATTGATATTTCCCTTATTTTTTCTTTGTTAGACTTAATTTATAACATAACTGAATTTCTTTACTTTGATTAGTAATGCTCAATAAGACTTCGGTAAGATTTCCGTATCAATACTTGTGCCCAAAAATTGCTAAATTTCGGCAACGACCAGTCTTGTCATGGGAAACATTAGAAAGAAAATCACAAGAGAACCGACTCAAAGGGTATAACTTAATGGTGCTCGGCAAACCATTGCATATAAACATATATTAAATTCTTGCACGCCTTTTGGTGCCTCAACACTTTATTGTGCCCCTTGACCAAGATAATTGGTGCAGACATTTATCATTACTTAAATATCCCCGAGGCTCAAGTGTTCTGAATAAACTATATTAGTTTTTTTATATGTTTTATCCCTGTGAAAAACTAAAATTTTTAAACTGAAAATTTTCTTTGTTGTGAAATTTTTTAACTTTTGAGATAAATCTAAAATAATCAACCCACTCTGCTTCATTGATTAATTTTTCTTTCCTTCTTTGTTTGTAGGTGAGTACAAGACGTATTCTACAATTTCTAGTTCTTCCTGAGGTTGATTTAACACTTCCATGGAGAGATCACTCAGAAGAACCAGATGCAAAAGTTGAATTTGTCCCAGATAGTGGAAGTGTTCTGGTAAGTTTATATGCTTAACTGGTTTTTTTCTTTTTTTATTGGTAACAAATCAATTTTTTTAAACAAATCCATCCATTCTAACTAATTTTCATAGAACCTATCGAATATTTTAAGAGACATTTGTTTTTTAATTTCCTTTTACTGTGTTTAGGATAACATTTATGCTGCTTTAATGAACTTATTAAAATGCTGTTGAAAAGATGAGAAGTTAAAAAAAAGTATATTTTACTGCGTGCAATAAACTATGAATATTAATGAAGCTGAATATTTATAGTACTTCAAGGGAACATTTGCAGACAGGTTTTGTTACGCAGGATGAGGAGTGAGTCGTCTTTCTCACCTTTTTTCTTTACCCAATAACAAAACTTGTTGTTAACTATTATTCATTTATTTATTATTGAATAACACATCTTTTAATCTCTGTTTGCCTTAAAAACCTATTATTCAAAAAAAAAATTACAGACTCTTAAACGTCCGAACAGTTCTGAATACGTGACATTCATAGTTTTAAAGTTTTATACAGATATTCTCATTTGAAAGTGGCAACATTTAGATGCTACCTAAAATCAATTACCTAAAATATGTGGTTTTTATAATTTTAACAATTTTTTATAAAATTTTTACAACCTTTGATTTGTTGTGATGGCAAATGGTATTCCAGAGTTACAAGATTTTGTATACTTTTTAACCATGGTTGTCGGCTACTTATTAGTACTACCACCGAAAGATTCAAGATGCTTTGACCTACCCTGATAGTGTGGCCAAATTATTATGACCACCTGACAGTTTTATGCAAAATGAGCTATTGTGTTAGAGTGTTACCGCTAGAGGGCGAGGTAGCTAAAAAAGGGGAATGCAAGGCAAGTGAACCATCAATTGCACTGTGTTACGTGCGGAGAAATGGGCAAAAAACGTGACTTAACTGAATTTGAACGCGGGGTGATTGCATGCGCTCAAAGCGTCAGAACTAGTATCAGCAAAACCGCTGCTCTTGTGAAGCGTTAAAGAGCTGCAGTCACTAAATGTGTACAGAGAGTGAGTTACCAAGCAGAAAACTGGGTCTCAACATCAGGCTTGTGGTCATCACAGGCTACTGAAGGCTTCAGCTGAAAGGAGACCTGCCAGAGTTGTCCAGTCCAGCAGAAGAGCAACAGTGCATCAAATACCAGGGAATCTTAATGAAAGTGCAACTGCAGACGTCTCTGTACGAAATGTGCGCTGCACATTACACCATATTAAAGCTGATGACCTGTTCGAAAACTTTTGCCGTCAGCCTTGAACAAGCGCAGATGTCTCCAGTTTGCAAAGGAGTATAAGGATTGGACAGTGGATGACTGGAAAATAATTACATGCTCTAATGAATCAAGTTTTCAATTACATCCTGCAGATGCAGGGTTTGAAAATGGATCGAAGCATGGACCCCAACTGCATTGCAACGTTAAGCTGGTGGGGGCAATGTTATGGTTTGGGGGATGTTTTTTTGGCATTGAATGGGTCCTTCGATTCCTTTGGATCAATGTCTGAATGCCCAAATATATTTAAGTGTTATCGCAGATCAAGTACATTCTATAATGATGTACCCTGCCAGAGATGGATACTTTCAGCAACTGAATGCTCCTTGTCATACAGGCCAGCACAATCTCAATTCTTCGTTGGCCAGCACAATCTCCAGATCTCAATCTAATTGAGAATTTGCGGAATGAGATAAGCCGGGGCATCAAACACCTGGATCCAGTGCCGTCCAATTTGTCGGAACTGAATAGTGCAGTTTATCGGATATGGGATCAAATTCCTCCTACCGCCTACCAAAATTTTATGAAATTTACAGAAAGAATTCAAGCAGTATTATGGGCTAAAGGTGGTTCGCCAGTGTCTTGAGGGGGCAGTCATAATAACTTGGCCACTCAGTGTATATGTACATACAATTCAAGAATAGTACTTCAAACTTTTAGGGATGTAGACACATCGAAAGAATTAACCAATTTAAATGTCATTGTGCACCACTAGGTGGAGCTTTACATTAAAGTTCTACTCCATGCATCTAATAGAACTGCATACTTGGTATCCCCCTCACTCACTTAACTTATCAAACTTTAATTTCTTTTGGTGGAGGGTTTTCAAAGCAATGGATCTCGGACCAAGACTTGTCTGAATTTCTGCTACAATCAAAGAAATCGGTGTGTTTAACCTTGTCCAGCAATCAATGCTTTCTTGGTCTTGGGTATGTGTAGCATCTGATAATGTGAACTTAGTGCCTGTTGTGGCATTATAAACTGCATATTATTTTGTTTCTAGATATCATATAAAAAATTTTAATTTATCAGCAGTAATCAATGTTTCCCTGATCTAAAGCTTGCATAGCTAACTCTACACTATATGCTATCAAGATATCCGATATAACTTTTTAATTCATCACTTTCCTATGTCCTTTAAGATTTCATTTGCTTTTTTTTGATGGTCATGGGTTGTAATGCAATTTTTAATACATTCTGGTGGTGTACCTTTCCTCCGCTAAAAGTTTGGTGCAAAGTTTTGAGGCATTTTTTATGTGTATATATGTATACTAAAAAGTCAAACAGGCTGTTGTATTTCAGTAAGAATGCACCATTAGTTTATTTCCTTCATCCTCTTCTATTTTCAAATTTTGTAATCTGGCAGACATTTTAAATTATTTTTGAAAAATACCTGTAAGTGTGAGTACATTTGAATTCACATTACATTTTGAGTTTTATCCTGTATTTTCTTGAATTTGTATTATCTATTTTTGCTTGATTGTTTCGTTTTGCTTTTTTTATATTGCATTTTTTCTTAATAGGTACTATTTTTGTTTCAATTTTTTTGGTGCTCCTCAAACTATTGTGTTGATATCTTTTGCTTTGGCTATATTAATACAAAGTTAGAGAGCACTATTTTTTCAGATAGAATCGTGTGAGCTGATGACGAGATTATATCTCTTCCTAATTTTATTTTATTTTCCTAATTTTTTTTTAACTATAAAATTTTTTAAATTTTGGAATTTTTATATCTTTTTCTTTGTTTACTCTTTATTTTTAATTTATTTTATGAGTTCTATATACTTGCAGCTTATGCACAGTAAGAAAACTTATTATTTTTCTTAATTTTTTTCATTAATCTCTCTTTTCTTTTATCCTTATTTATATTCTTTTGGTATGTAAGAAATTTAGTAATTATGTTAGATATATAAGGTAATAATTTTAATTTCAGTTGCAAGTGAAAGAGAATTCATTTGAAAGTAAAGGATACCTGTCAGGATCAGAAGAAGGCGATGGAGTGTTCCTCCCTGAATTCTATAATTATCCCCCTCTTGAAGAGAATACTCTTCTTTCAATTAAAAAAGGATATTTTACTCATGATTTGATACATTACACTGTTCCAACTTTGAGAGATATCAACGTACAGATTCCTGCTGGTAACTATTATTATAATCTGTTTTTTTTCTCATATTACTTCGCTACTATTTTTAAAATTATTGAAACAGAGGTTAAATATTAAAAAAATAATTATTGCTACATGTACTCAAATGTTTATATATTTAATTTAAAGTTTNTTATTATAATCTTTTTTTTTTCTTATATTACTTCGCTACTATTTTTAAAATTATTGAAACAGAGGTTAAATATTAAAAAAATAATTATTGCTGCATGTACTGGTCCCTTCTATCATTCTAGATATAAGGTTCTATATGTACATTTCTATAAGACTCACACATGAATAATTAAGTAAGCACTTAATTAGCACTCAAATTATGAAAGTCATAAATTCTCAATACTTTCGGTAGGTTACTGTTTTAATTGCTGAGCACCAAAAAAACAAGAGAGACCAAATTAACCCCATTCGTCATTTTAGTGTTAAGATAACATGAAAAATGTAATAGTTATCTGTATTTTAGTACTTCCAATATAAAAATCTTTTTTGCTGATTTATCTTAATATAAAATTCTCGTTTTTATGATTAAAAGTTGTTATATATGATTAAAATTCAGTTGGAACTTTTTCAAGCAAACATAGAAAAGTAATGTAAATTTACTTCTGAAATAAATTAACTGGAATGCATTGTGTTATTACTTAATAAAAGTTATGTTACTTGTAATTAGCGTTTTAAAAAACAAGTTTATTATCAAAAGGACTAATTTCTTTGTAAATTTGAAAATATTAGCTGTATGAAAAAAGCTGGGTTTTTTCTAAATCTCTGTTTTATGAAAAAAGTATGAAATGATATATTTATTGTGGGATATAGTTCATATTGTAAACTGTTTATTTTAGGTAGGTTAACTATTGTTGTTGGACCCATAGGCAGTGGAAAATCATCCCTTTTATCTGCAGTTATTGGGGAACTTCACCAGATAAGTGGATCAGTTAACTGGAACAGGTTTGTTTATTGTTTGTTATTGAAGTTTATTGTTTTTTAATAACAGACAAATAATGCCACATAAGCAGAGATACCATCCTTTTAGCTTTATTATGAAGAACCTTCTTCAGATTCAAAGCACAAAATGGGAAAGAGAAAGTGGCTGGATGCAAATATACTTGGAACAAGGGAGGAGATGGACTTAAAGAGTATTTTGAACCTGAAGCAGTTGCTTCATTATATTAGCCAAACAATCACTATTTGTGCTTTTTACACTTAACTGTGACTTAACATTTATATGCAGCTCAAAGTTAATATTTTCTTACTTAGATAGTGTTGTTTGGATTTGGTTATTAAATTTACTTCATCATAATTACTTTTTCTTAATTATAAGTTTTAAACTTAGGGAGAGAGCTAGCACCAACAGCTCTGCATCAATTAAATGCCTTTCAACAGTCGCGTGTGGGGAGTGAGGCAAGTCTTGAGGGGTCAAGTAGAGATTTTAAGAAATGTTACTTACCACAGTAGGGGTATTTTTCTGATGTTAAAGGTCAACTTTATAATGCATTTATAAATAATTCAATATTAATATGTAATTATGAATGATAGATTTATGTGTGAACTCTTTTTTATAATGACAGTAATTTTGATTATAATAAAGACTGCACTTTTAAATATATTATTTGTTAACAATGTTTTGATGCAAAAAATATGTTCCTCTTTCTGAATTTCATTATGTTTCCTAAGACAATAAGAAAAAAGCATTTCAAATTTGAATCACTAATTTCAAAAGGAAAAAAAAACAATCACGAAATAAATCCAATTATTTTTTTAATAAAAAGAGATTTGCTTAACTCTCCAAGCATTATGCATTTAAACGAAGCTTTGTTCTGGTATGCTGCATGTGAGTTAAATTACTTGGGATGAAATAGATGGGAAGGCATGTGCATGTTAAGGTACTTTAAAGGCTATCAACTGCTCACTGACTTTTGAAATTTGAAATAATTGAAAAATAAATTATCAATCTAAAAATGAATGTAAGAGAATTGCTTTATATTGAAAAATGTTAATTGTAGTTTTAAGAAAGAAAGATAGTTTCTGAACTATAAACTGATTTCTGTTTTTTAAAATATAAAATTTGCTTTTTTTTTTATATAGTATCTATCTTTTATAGCTCACCTCTCATTGCTTATGTTCCACAAAAACCATGGCTTGTTAATGCAACACTTAAAGAAAATATTTTGTTTGGTCAGCCATATGATGGGCGAAGGTTAGTGCATTATATTTTCTGTCAAAATAGACTCTTTTATTTGTCCATATTCATAAACAGTCTACTACTTCACTTTGTACTAGCCATACAATGTGAATAAAACACAAATAATACCACACAAACAGACATTCTTTAATTTTAGTTATGTAATCAAGATGTCAGATTATGCAGGGCTAATTAGATTAAAAGTGGATTTAATATACTCATTTTTTAATTATATGTTTCATGTTCTTAAATCGCACTGTAAGGTTGTGTTTAGTTTGTACAAAATATGCAAAACGTCACTGACAAAAAATTTAGTAAGTACCCTAGTTATTAAAATCAGCTAGAGGATCTTTCAGGTTCATGAAATTTAGTTTGTTAACTGAGAAGAGAACTGTTTATTTTAAAACTCAAATTTATTCAAAATGTTAACAATTTAGGGACTTTTCTGTGATATTAAGTTAAAACAATTTAACAAAGTTTATATATATATGTATATAAACTTTTATTCCGTTTAGCATTTATTTATTCCGTCCGTTATATGTATAAACATTTATTCCGTTTCAACATCAACCCAGGTAAGAAATTTTAAATATTTTTGCCCATTAGATAGTTTATCATAAAGCAACTTATAAATTCATGAATTTCAAAATTAGATATCTGTGGTGCAATGATACATCACTTCATTTTAACCTTTAAATAAGTTGCTTACCATAAATGACAATTAAAAAGTACAATTTCCTGATGTTCAACTGCTCATCAGTTACATTGATCATTCTGTTGATTCTTTTGTTAATTTTTTTTCTTCATTTTTATGTGTTTACTGTGAGTGTATGACTTTCAATGTTCAACTCCATACCATTCGAACTTTGAACACAATCCAGAAGACAAGGGGCTTCTGGATCAAACTAGCCTTTGTGGAGAATTTTTTTTGGAACTAACCCTCATTTACGTTAGATAGAAAGAAAGAAAATCTAAGAATCCCACACTTAGCCTGATGGCAAAGAGATTCTAACCCATGATCCGTCTACCACTGAGGATATTTTATGTCAGTACTGTGATCGGTTCGAGCCGGGTACAGCATTCGTTTCAACCAGCTATCGCTGGGATTCCCTGTTAACCTCATTGGGAGGAAAGACCTCTATCCCTTGAGCCACCGTACCCCTACAATTTACAATGTAAATTTTAAGATCTAATTAAACTATAGTGACTATTGGCATGTCATGACAAGCCAGTGGTCATGTGGCATATTGACAGTGCTGATTCTTTCTAGCTTCTTGCAGTGCTGATTGATTATTTTTGGCTGATGACTCGGTTTTGAGGTTTCCTTTCAATTAATTGATAAAAAGAATGTGTAAAATTTTCAAAATATTTTCTTCTAACTCGGACTTGTTTTCTTTATAATCCTATTGTATTTTCTATATTTTTGAAACAGGTACCACCAAGTGATCCAAGCTTGTGCTTTGCAACCTGACATAGATTTATTGCCTGCTAGAGACATGACTGAAATCGGTGAAAGGGGCCTGAATCTCAGTGGGGGTCAAAAACAAAGAATTGCTCTTGCCAGAGCTTTTTATTCTCCTGCACGACTTGTTTTGCTAGTAAGTATGTCGGCTTAATCATAAAGGAATCTAATCAAATTACATAACTAAACTATTAAAAGAAATTATTTTTAGACAACTTAATATTTCTTTAACACCTTTCTATTTATTAAAAGCATGGTTTTGAAGGAAATATTTCTTTCTTATCTATTTTTCTGCTATATTATGATTCATATTCCTATATTTATGTAGATATCTAACTTACACAGAGTGGCCTCCCCTACTAAAATCACATTTGTTCTGAGAACATTTCATTTTATAAGGTGTCTGATTTTATAAACTGGATGTATACTCTCAAGAAAAAGAATTTGAAACTTTAACTTTACAACCGCACTGAAAGCAAAATTTATTTTATTTTTACTGGATGTTCATTTGAAATTTTAATTAAACCTAAGCTATGTTCTTTAATTTACAAAAAGGTGTTAAAATATTAGCATATTTATTTGATTAGAAAAATTTATAATTAAAGATTTAACATGGTTTGAAAGTCTGTAAAGGTTTTTATAACTTTCAATGTATCCTTTTCTTTGCTTTAAAGTTTATTTTAAAATATCTAGCACTTCTCTGACATCTATTGTAGTTAGGAAGATAGCTTTACCTTAATGAATGAGTGGTGATCATTGACATTGGATGATGATAGGCATTCTATAATTTAATTCATAAGCAGTATTAAAAAAAAAGGCTTGAGAAAATAGAAAATTCAAATTATTCAGACAAGAAAAAATAGAGTTTTTCATTATTTTAAACATATGCTCCAAAAAAAAAAACATTTATTTTCTAAATGGCGATAATGATTTGGTAAAAAAATAACTTTCACATATTTTGATATTGTAATGATTCCTGTTTTGCTAATTTAATTTTAAAAAATAGCTTATTTTATAATCCAGGGATTTTATTAGTGGCAGTCACTTTTTTTAAAATGTATATTTATATAATCGGGATTCATATACCTCATTCATATATGAGCTTGTGATTCAAATACCTCTGTATTTTGTACTTTTAAAGGATGATCCATTGTCTGCTTTGGATGCCCATGTTGGAGCTTATGTGTTTGAGCACGGTGTGAAAACTCTTCTTCTAAGGAGGCAAAGAACTGTTGTTCTGGTTACTCATAAGCTGGAATTCCTGCAATCTTCTTCAAAAGTAAAATATCATGATTTTATTTATTTATGTATTTATTTATATTTGATTTAGAAATCATTGTTCCCCTCTTCTTCAAATATTTTTAATATGCTTTCTAATTCAATTATATATTTTTTAAGACTGAAAATTTTTTTAAAAAATTGTGTAAAAAATCAAGAAAGAGTGGTAAAAATGTTAAATATTCAATATTTACAAGCTTGAAGTTTTAAAAATATAGACTGATGTTTCAAAAAATTTTATTTATTTGTTTTATTTATATATATATTTATCTTNGGGAGCGGCGTATATACCAGGGCGGCGTTTCTCCGCGAAATTACGGTACTTAAAATTAGTCAGTCTTTATATGTTATGATATTATACAGTCATTGTATGATATAAAAACTGCCAAATATTCAATTGTTAATCACAAACCAACATAAAATTTTAAAAAAGCTAGACTGTTATTTAAAAGTTTAAACTGATTTTTTTTTTTTTTTTTGAGACAGNTTTTTTTTTTTTTTTTTTTTTTTTTTTTGTTCAATGCTTTTCTCTTTTTTTAAAAGAATTTTTACTTTAAATTGTTGCGCCAAATATTTTAACATTACTAGATTCCAACTCATTTAGTTTCAATTTTAATAAAAACTTAATACCTATTTTTTTTATATAGAATTTATGTTGATATAACTTCAGAATGAAATACTTTTCAAATAATACTTAAGTCACAATCTATGAATGATGAAAACTATTTAATATTATATCGTGCATCATCTACTAGTTAAATTTCAGATGAAATTTAAACCGCTGCATGCTGTATATCAAAATTTTAATATTTAAGAATCAGGAATTCTTTTCTTCTTTTTTCATATTTACTTCTGCTAATTTTTCTTATTTCCATAAAACTTTCTTGAGATTAAAATTGAGAGAAAATTAAATAGTTTAAATTTAAAATTTCGAACTTCAACGAACAAATTAGTTATAAATTTGGTATGCAATTATAGGTACTGTTGATGGAATCCTGCACAATAAAGAAACAAGGTACCCCCAAGGAAATGGAAAGCCTTTTGCAGGATGTCAATTTTAATATGAAGAAACCCAAAAAAGCATATATGAGTGATAATACTCAAGCTGAAGGTACATCAAAGGAAAGACATAAGCTTGTTCGTCTAATATCCAGGCAACAACTCTACAGAACAGTGTCTACTCAGGTAATGTTCTTTTGAATTGGTAAATGGGATACCTGCAAGTGACGTAGTGTGGATATATTTACCCTGATTGGTTGTTGAAACGTGGCATTTGTTTACTTCAGCAACTGTTCTTTCCATTCTATTTCGAGTAAGCCAAGCCCGTCAAGTATCAGTTCTCCTATGTGACACATTCTATATTCTTTCACAAAGATTTCAATTCTTTTCCTATATATTTCTCACTTCACACAAAGACAGGCATGAAGCCATGTAGAACATAAACAAACTAATTATGCATTGTAGTTACCATGTACATAAAATAAAAATATCACAGTTACAATAAAAAACATAAACAAATAATAATTGTAAGTTATTATATTAGTAATTATATAATAATTACTATATTAGTAATTATAGAAATTATATTTTACCACATTTGATGTGTGATATGGCATTGTAATTAACTAACATTCTGTCTTATGTGGATAAGTTTTAAAAATAAACATAATGAAATATTTAAAAAATAAATAAATAAATAAAAAATGGTTTTTTAGATAAAGCAGTAAGTAATATTTTTAAACATTCTAAAACATTTTCATGGTTTTATTTGGATATTATCTGGAAGTATTAAGTATTTTAAAACTTCTATAAATTATAAATTAATATGTAACTTATTTCTTTTTATGTTTGGGTTTAAATCAGTTTTATCAAAGAGGTGCACAACCTGGGGTTCTCAATTAGGCAATGCAACATCTCCTTTGCAACTAAAAATTAATTGAAAGCCAGGGTAACTAATGTGAAAAATCTAAAACTGTTTTTCAAACTATTTTAATAAATTGAGAAGAAAACAATGAAATATAAGATTAAAATGTGTATAAAATCTTTATACATCGCAGTATCTGCTTTTCTTTCTTTCTTTTTTTCTTCTTTTTTTTAACTTTCTTTAATTTAAACAAGTTAAATACAAATTTAGCTCAAGGATTTAGATTTATTTAAAAATTAAGAGTACATTATGTACAGGAAAAGAAATGTTTTGAAATTTTTCTTTAGTGAACAAAAAAGTTAAAAAGCATGTATGTTATGTTATGCATGCCTATTTTATTATTTACATCACTAATATCCCAAATTCTTAAGTTTCATTATATTATAAGTTTATTCATGCAACTTTTGTTTAATAAAATTTGCAATTTTTAAATTAATAAAAAAAGAGTGTGAAGTTATGATTCTAAATGTAAAATTTTTTAGTTTTTTTACCTTATTATCTATTCTTATTATCTAACTATTCTCTCTCTTTTGGGGGGGGGAGATAGGGGTTGTGCATTCTTTTAATTTTTTTTACCACGTGCATTATCTATTTTTTTTCCTTTTATGCAATCTCATGTCTGAAAAATGTATTATATGCCAAGATTGGTTTATCACACCTTAATAAATAAGCCATACTAATTATTTTAGACTCCTTTAAATCACTTAAAAGTTTTTAAATATGTATATATTTCAGGATATTAAGCCAAGAGCCAGAATGGTTTCACTTAGCCGGCAGATGTCTCACGATCCTTCCAGTCCCTTGCCTTGCCACGATTGGGGAGACCATGATGATCCTCTTCCTTCCATTGCTGATCCAGATGATCCTGATACTGGTCACAAGCTCCTGAATCGCATGAAGTCTGTCGAGAGTTTGAGGTCTAGGTCGAGTGCGAGCTCTGCAAGTGTAGTTAGAAGGTCGTGGAAGTGCCCTCCATCGAGGTTGAATTCCAGGATATCAACTAGAACTGATGATCTCATTGAAGAGGAAGATGAAGAAGAAGAAGAGGAAGATAATACTGAAGGTAAGTGATTTAAATTTACATGTGTAATGGGGATTTCTAAAATAATTATATTGTTGAAAGATGCAACTAGCATTTTACTTTTAATGTACTTTAATATTAAGCATCTTTGTAAGTTTTGCAATTGTTTTAAAAAAGATTCAGATGAATTGCTTTCTTTAGGTATAGACATTTCTCTTCTCGTGATAAAGACTATGCTGTTTGATTTTGTCACCCTGAGTACAAAATAATTTTTTTTAAGTTTCAGTTTTTAAAAAGTACAGACTATTGTGATTTTTGAGCCATTTAGCTCTTTATTCTTCTACCTGCTTCAGTTTATCATCAAGTAACATTAAAAAAAAAACTGATTTGTAAACAATAAAGGCTCTCAATTTGAAATGGAAAAAAAAGGCAGAGCTATCACTAAGAAAGTTGCAGTGTTTGGGTGGTTAGAGCTATATAACTAATTTATACTGTGACATTCCTTCCTTGTAATTGGTGATGTGACATTACTCGCACAATAACTGACTTGCAATCAGCAAATGAATTAAATAACAACAAAATTTATTAATGTAGGTTCATCCAAAATTACCACAGAACATTGATGTAAAATAGAACTAAATTCAATGTAGAAACTCATAGTTATTTGTTTCACAATCATGTTAAATACAACAAAAAACATGCTTGCCCTCAATGTTCCTAGTCGTACAGCAGTTTATACCTCTAAGAACTAAATGGCACCATAGTTGGTGATGAGGTCGATTCAGGTCTCTATTTCCATGTTCAGAGTTCAATATTTCTGAATGCATATTCTGGGGACTGAGCACAGGGCATCGGAGTTAGGAGAACAAATTATTTTACTGCAGATATTTTCTGGGAAAACAACATAATGATGGACTACTCCTTCTAGAAGGACAACACACGTCTGCCGAACAGAGAGGTTATAGATGTATTCCTAGTTTCAAACTCAAAAGAAAGACAAGCTGAAATCTGAACTGTATTTTACCTACTATCTATTTTTGCATAACACTGATGCTAGTAACAAACAAATAAAAGGAATTTTTAGAAATCAATTAAAAAATAAATAGTACTCTAGTTTTTTAAAGATTGAATTGGATTATTGAAGGATTGAATTGAATTATTCATAATATTGATTTTAGATTATTTGACCCAAAATTTTTACCACTCAAAAAGTTTTAGTCATATTTTTCAGATTGCCACCATCAAGTCACCATTTTCTGATGTGCCAAACACCATTTCATGATGTTTGGAGCATCAGAAATCATGATCTGTCAAAAATATTCTGAGTGAGAGTAGACTTATAAGAATGATTTTAAAGCTTAAAATATTGTTTTGAATTTGATTGAATTTAAAGATTGGATTAAAGTATTGAAATATTGAATTGAATAGTTCAAGAGATTTAATTTGGATTATTTAACCCTAAGTTTTACCAGTCTCTTGTCTAAAGTATTGGAGTCATATTTTTTAGATTACTACCTTACCTCATGTTCTGCGCATTGAAAATTCAAATCCGTCGGAAAAAACGGTATGTTTATTCAGAGACAGTATGTTTATAAGTATGATTTTATGACTTAAATTATCATTTGTACAAAATAATTATCAGGCTTAAGGTGGGACCCTTATTCTATAACATTGCTTCATAGTAACTTATCCAATTAAAAGTTATTTAAGCGTTCTTTTTAGAGTAATCTATGCCATGAAGTGTTACATAAAGACGTCTATTATACTTCGAGCACAAAAATAATAAATACTTCTAGCACAAATTAAATACTTCTAGAAATGAAAGAAGGGCAAATCAGAATGAATGTGGTGGAGTTGTGATGTGATTGTATATTAGGGATAAATTTGACTGCTGTGGACTTTCATATTTCATGTAACAGGATATATTTAAACTAAAAATTTATTCTCCTCCTTTATTTCTGTCTCCACTTTCATTTTACTTGTCTTTTATTTATTAGCAAATATTTATTTGTCTAAATGTAATGTTAAAATTATTTATTGATAATTAAATTTTATCATTTTTTAAAGTGGATAAAATTACCAATGTTAACTCTTTGGAGCAAGTGCAGCTACCCGATGGAAAACTCATTAAAGAGGAAGAAAGAGAGAGGGGCAAAATTTCGAAGAAAGTTTATCTTATGTATATGAATGCATGTACTCTCCCTTTGGCATTGTTTGTGATATTTCTCAGTATAGCTACCCAAGCCATGAAAATAGGCACTGATTTTTGGCTGTCTGCTTGGTCTGAGTCTTCTACTTACAAAGAGGATGAAATAGATCTAGAGGAAGCAGAAAACATGGGAGACTCTCAGGTACAAATTAGTGATAAAAGTTTCTAAAAAAAAAATTATTTTTTTTACTTTTCTTACAGAAATTAATAATTTTATAATTTTTTTATTTGGTAGTTTTATGGTAATTTTTTCAAGACAATTGTCATTATAATTTTTTTATTTTTTTTACAAATCAATTTCTGAATAAAAAAAATTCTCTATCAAGCTAATTCAGACATAAAAGAATCTCAGGTACAAATCAGTGAAAAAAGTTACTACGAAAAAAAAATTTCTTTGACCTCCAAAATTCATACTTTTATGTTAATGTTAATTTTTCTTTTAACTTGTTTATTTTGTGATAACTTTTTAGGCAATTATCACTTTTAAATATTTTTTTATAACAATTAAAAATATTTATATTCTGGATCAAGGTACTTCAGGCATGTGAGAATTTTGATCTAATACTTTTGTTTGAATAAAAATACCAATGGTACCTACCTTAATCTGTTAATAAACCATTTTTTTTTTTATATGTATAAAATCAAATTCATGTAAGATAATTCAAATAAATGTTAAAAGAAAAAAATATGAAACAAACGGAAAATTTTTCTAATTATGACCAATTACTATTAAGGCTAAAAAAACAAGAAAAATAATTAAAATTATCTCAGAACCATCATCTAAGAGAATTTTGATTTATTAATTATATTGGAGGGAAAATACCAATGGAACCTACCTTAGTGTGTTCATAAACAGTATTTTATAATAAAAATTATTTTGTGTAAAATTGTTTCAGTTAAATTTAAAATATATATGTATATATAGATATAGAACAAATAACATTTTCAAACTGGGATCAATTACTATTGAGATAGAGAGAAAAAATTAAAATAATTTAAAACCTGTTAGCTCACTAGACAAAACTAATCTTTGATGATTCTAATTTCTTCTTTGCTCTTTCTAACCTGAGTAATAATTGAACCAAAACGATAAAGTATAAATGATAAAGTAGTTTAAAGTATTATAATCTGAAAATAAGTAATCTCTAAAAATATATTTTACTTCTAGTCAGTAATCTTAACCTTTTTCTCTGAACTAGTGTAGCAGGAATTATAATTAATTTGTTATTTATTATTGAATGATGAGATGAAATGATAAAGCATAATAAATAATCCATCAACATGTGTTTGATATTTTGACCAATAATAAAAAATTTTTTATAAATGTTTTATATAAATGCCAGTATTTAAATATTTTTAAGGTTAAATCTTTCTCTTTCAAAGCTGCACACTCGAGATGTAAACTATATTCCAGAGCTTCAATTCTGTTCTTAATAACATTGTATTTTAATTTTATGCTGTTTTACTTAAAAACCCTCATTTACAACTACAATTTTATCCGTGTGTTGTTAAATCATCATATGCATTTGTATTTATATATATATATATATATATATACTTCANAATATATATATATTGGGAGTCTTAGTCTTTTTTTTCTTAGTCTTTGCGTTGAACAAAACCTGTAGGAGAGACCATTAAAACCTCTCCCAGCAACCAGGCAATCCTCTGCACCAAATGCAAAAAAATTCAAATAAGGAAAACAACCATTTTTGGGAGTCTTAGTCTTTTTTTTCTTAGAGTTTGCATTTAGGAAAACCTGTAGGAGAGACCCTTAAAACATCTCACAAAAACCGGGCAAACTTCTACACCAAATGCGAAAAAGGTCAAATAAGGAAAACGACCACTTTTGGGAGTCTTAGTCTTTTTTTCTTAGTGTTTCCATTGAAGAAAACCTGTAGGAGAGACCCTTAAAACATCTCCCAGCAACCGGGCAAACTTCTACACCAAATGCAAAAATGGTCCAATAAAGAAACACAAAAAATATTAAAACAAATAAATAGATTAAAATGTATTCAAAATATTTGTGTGAGACTCTTCTGTTTTTAACAATCTCTGAAAGAGACTACAACATCATGTTACAGTCAGAGTGCACTAAAGAGGATGCTATCAATGATTTATTTTTTGAGTTAAAAGTTAAATTTTAATTAAAATTATTTTAGAAAAAAACTTTCGAACAAAGCCTCTTCTCATCTCTTAAAGCTAACTATTTTTTACAATATAAAATGAAATGCAAACTTAAACTAAAAACATAATTTTTTATTTTTTTTTAAAACAGTTCTATCATTCATAACTGGTAAATTTGTTTTTTACACATAATTATGTCAATGAGGATCATTTTAGTTGACGCTAAATTTTATTCTTCGATATGGTTTTCTGCTGCCAACACAAGTGGAATTTCCGCAGCAAAAAAATGACTGACTAAACTTAAAATCGCTTGCGAAAAATCATGTACCTTTGAAAACATTTTGAAGTAAATAGAGGTAAAACCTAGGAACGACCAACCTCCATTAACAACCATTTTACTGTGAAACACAGAGTGGTCGCTCCTGAGAGTGTATATATATAATAAAGAGACAAAAGAGAATTAAAGAAAAGAGATATTTGCAAAACATTTTTAAAGAAGACAAAGTTTTATTTACTTTATAAGCTGCGAGTACATAGAACCCATAAAATAAGTTACAAATGCAAAGAAAACAAGAGAAAAATATATTTAAAGATAAGAAAGAAAGATCTCTTTAAATAAAGAAAAAAATTTTAAAATATTAAAAAAAAAAATTTAAAAAAAACTAAAAAGCTAGAAAACAAAATAAAGGTAATATATAATCTCATTTTCTGCTCTCGCAATTATATCCGCAAAATTAAGTGCTCTCTAATATTGTACTAATGCACCCAAAGCAAAATTGTTAATACAATAATGTGAGGAGCACCAAAAAAAATCTAAATAAGAATAAAACATACCAAAGAAAAAATAACAAAATAAAACATATCAATCAAGAAATATAAATTAATGAAAAATACAAAATAAGTACAAAATGTAACTATAAAGCGAGTGTTGAATTCAAACATCTTTTAACTTACTGACATATTGCGAAAATGATTTAAAAATATTTTCGTAACTAGTTTGCCAAATTACAAAATATAAATATATATATATATATATATAAAAATTTAATGTTTTTTTAAAAAAATATTAATAATCTGAATTTTTCTTGAATGCTTTTTAATATGTTCAGCTAGAATGTTTTATGTTTTTGCAGAAAATTCTAGTCTCTTAAACAAAACAAAAATTATCAATTTTATACATCTCTTTTTGCTCTTGTTGAAATCATATTTCACTGATAACTGTATAAAAATACTGTTGATTTATATAATTAGTAATTATTGGCTCATACTTAGAAATAAAAGGAAATAACTTTTGTATATATTGTAACCTTATTATAATTATGCATATGTACTAACTATATTGACTTTAATTTATATACATTTTTTATACATAGGCTGATTCTCTTCAATACTATATTAATATCTATGCGATTTTATCTGGCGTCAGTATAGCCATTGCCTTTATTACAAATTTGGCAGCACAGCTCACTTCATTGAAAGCTGTCAAAGTTTTGCATGACAGAATGTTGTCCAATATTATTCGAAGTCCTATGAAGTAAGTTGGATGCATTATTTTTTAATTCTTGGCTAATTTTCACACTCTTTCCTCATCAAAATTCATTTCCTTGAAGTAAAATTCAATGTTAATAATTAATTTTACATTTTTGTACAAAAGTAATAAAATACTTGATAATATAAAAACTTTATTTGCCTCAAAAAGTATGAGAATAGTGTCATGTATTCTGCTTTATTTTGCTAACTATTAAATATATGAAGACTTTTACGATCTTCATTTTTTTTTAAGCAGAAAAGGGTTTTTATTATGCAGTATATCTTATGTCTTCAATTTCTTGGAATTATTCACTTAAAGTAACCGTTTTTCAAAATTCACCTGTGAACTAGTATCTTTAATTCTATTATTAATTTAAAAAAAAATTTCCATTGGCAAAATGGGTCTTGTTTTGGATTTGATGGTGCTCATCTTTTTTTTTCAAATGTGTTTAAGAGTAAAAGTAAATAGTGGGCATGCGTTGCTATGGCAACCGCTGCTGTTTGATAATTTTTTTAGAATTCTTTTTTTCACTTTTAATTTTGTTATGCATTAAGTTGGCGAGTTTATTTTTGAGAAATGGGACCAGAGAGATCCCATAAATACTTCTTCAGTTGTAAATAAAAGAGAATTTCATCATTTGAACGATTTTTTTGTTTTTATTGGTTTAATTAAGAATCAGAAATTCTAACCTACAGTTCAAATTGGATCGTTTTCAATACTAATTCAGGTGAATATCACACAAAAAAAAAGAGTTTGGCTGTGTTGTATGCAAAACCAGGGTCAACAACCGATTACATATTGGATGCTGCAGAAGAGGCTGTAGGAGATGATTGTGACAAATACAACACCGTTTTGGCCGGCAATATGAATATTGCTGATAGAAGATAGTTTTGTGATGTCCTAAGAAACGTATATTGGTTGGAATTGAAAATAAACCCAGCCCATTGGACGATATGAGGACAAACATAAATAGATGTAATTTTTGCAAGGCCTGACTTGAAATTTAGTGGCGTTTATGATAGTATTTTCAGCTACCATGTTCTTTTATTCGGTAAAAAGAAAAAATTGGACATCAACCATTTTACCAATGGGTAACCTATGATCGGCTTTGGCCAATCAAAATTTTTTTTTAGTAATTATTTTTAATTTAAAATAGTTTGCGATTTTTTTTATTTTATTTTATAATTGAAAATAAGATTTTTCATCATTGATTTGTGCAAAAGAAGCTTCATCACATTTTCTAAATTCTTTTTTTCCTTTAATTGTTTTTTTATTCTTCATCAAGTTATCAAAATGTAATGTTTTCTGAAGCTTACTAAGAAATTTATTTATTTAATTAATTAGCTGTGTTAATGAGGATAAAATTTAATATTCACTATTTTTATATTCTCGCTGTATCAATTTTATGCTAAATATAACTTGCCAAAAAATTATATATATATCTAGAATAAAACATACTGTAGGTATTTTTGTTTTGCAATTATTTATTCATCTTTTCAAGTTATTTCAGTTATATTGACATTATTAGCTATCCCATTTATTTAAAAAAAAATTTAAAAATATATTTTCTTTCCTTAAGATAATGGAACCACTTAAATCTTACGATATTTTTTGTTTTTGTTTGCCAAGGTTCTTTGATTCAACTCCTGTTGGGCGAGTGGTCAACAGATTTTCAGCTGACATCAGTACGATTGACAAGGTGTGTACTGTAGCTTCAAAATATTTGTTAATATAAATACATTTCAAAAAACTACATTATAGGTATTTTGTTGTATCCTATTGTCATAACTTATTTACTGTAGCTAGCATATTTTATGCTTGTATTTAATTTTAACAAAATAGTTTAACTCTGACTTCAAATTATGTATTATTCAACATTTTAAGTAATTATTCTTTATTGAAAATTGTAAACTTTAAATTATTAATGCTTTGTAATTTTGCTTTTCGTTTTAGAAACTTCCTGTTACTCTTCCCATCCTTTTGCGATTTATTTTACTGTGCTTGTCAGCCATTATTGTTGACATGATTGTGACGCCTTATTTCATTATTGTTGTTATACCTGTTGCTGCTATTTATTATTCTTTACAGCATTTTTTCCGTTGCACGTCTAGGTATGAAAAATATTTTTTATTTTATTTCATTTACAATATATTTTTTGTAAGAATCTATAGAATTCCTGATTAACAATAATTTTGTGTTTGGAATAGAGCAATCACCACAATCAATTAGCTTTTGGTGTTTAATTTTTCATTCGTAATTGACATTTGAATATCACTGTTTTTAGTTTTATTATGTTAAGAATTAGAATTTATATCTAGATGAAATATCTCTTGAGTTTGTCAAACACAAAGAGATTTCTAACTCAAAATCATCTTTAATAGGAATATCAATACAAGAAAACATCTTAATGAATTGTATTTCAAAATCTAACTACAGTGAAACCTCCATTAAGCGGACATTCATGGGACCAAAAAATTTGTCCGTTTATGAGAGTTGTCCGTTTACGGGAAGGGTACCCTAATAACGAAATTTAACATCGTAAATTGTTTTTAGAATATTCTCAAAGATGTAGAAATAATTAAATAATATCTACAAGAATACTGTAAATATCTACTAGAATATTTATTTAAGCAATAAGAAGGATAAAAAAAGAATATATAAAGAAGTTTGATATAAATATAAATTCTGGATGTAGCTACAGATAAATAAATATAATTTTCCTATTAGTATAGATACTCAAGTTAGACATATGATACCAAATAGGAACATACTGTCCTCAGTCCGTTTCAATTATTAGGGTCACATTCCATTACACCTACTTATCATTTGATAGGGAACATGGTTAATACCTTCTTGGAAAATAAACCTCCCTTGATTCACAGAAAAAAAAAGTAATGCATACCTGTAAGTCATGAGGACCTATGGAGATGATTATTCACAATTGATCAGCTATCAAGTGTCTGAATAAATGTTTCATTTATATAAACATCTCAAAGATTATACTTCTGTTTTCTTTTTTTTTACCCCAGTTGTGTTAAATACAGTCTTCAAATTGATAAGAAAATTAAAGAAATTTTCAATGGGGAAGAAGCATTGAGAGAAGTCATTTCANTATTTTGTGAAGGGTCCGTTTTTAAGTTAAAATATTTTGTGAAGGGTCCGTTTTTATGAAAAGATATTTTGTGAAGGGTCCGTTAACGGACCCAAATTTCTTCTAAACAGACCCCTGTACATGCTTTAAAAATGGTGAAAAGTTGCATTTTTTTAGCTTGCAATTTAAAGAAAAAATAGTTCCTTTTTCAAATTTAGAAATGTCCGATCTGTAGAGATAGAAAGCAACGTTTCAGGATCAAAATGACTGTCCCTGTCCAGTTACAGGAGTGTCCGCTTTGCGGAGAATGTACGTAATGGTTTATTCATAGAAGATTCCCGGGGAATTAAAAATATGTCCGTATTGAGAGGTGTCCGTTTTGCAGGAGTGTCCATAACAGGAGGTTTCACTGTATTTATTTTTATTTGACCCTGTGTTGAAGTATCCATCCTAATTAATTATAACGTTATATGACATAATCTAATTTTTAACAATACAAATATTAATAAGTCATTAATTATAAATTGTAAATTCGTGTATCAAATGCTATGGATTAATATTATAAGATATTAAATGAGATAAACCTATTTTATGATGCATTTGTTCTCTTATAATTATTTTAACAGTTCCGGTGTCAATGAGAGCATTAATTGGTCTGGCGCAGCATGTCCTCTGTGGACCTTGTGCCATTAAATCTTACATTCAATTCTATTCAGAGAGCATTAATTGAAATATTATTTATATGAACATCTTATAGAGAGTCAAACATCTATGTTTATCTCAAACATCTTATAGAGAGCCGAGATGGTTCTGTGATTAATGCACTGAGCTGTCGTTGTAAATGACTGGGGTTTGGTTCCCTGTGGTGCCTTGCAGGGGAGATTGTATTCCAGGTGTACCCTGAAATTCCGGATCTAGAAACTAGGAGCAGGGCATGCGATTTTTTTTTGCAGAATTCTGCGTATCTCAAGACCATTGATTTGCGGACTTCTGGAAATCAAAACTTATAATCAGACAAAAGTGGGAATTAAAAGTTCTGCAATTTAAATTTTGAAACCTTCACCAAATAGTGTTAACGAGACATTTTCATACATGTGACTCTTCCACAATTTTTTTTATTATTTGTCGGATTTTCATCATTTTTAATATTTGAAACTATGCTGGAATCCGCTAATATCCTGATTCATATTCGCGCAATTTTTATATCATTGTAAATGCTATTCACTGAATTTAAAAATCCGATATCGCGATTCGCCTTTACGCAATTCAAAAATCCACTATCATAATTTGTATTTTTGCATTCTTAAATCCAATATTGTGATTCAGATTCTCGCGATTTTAAAATCTAATATTGCGATTTGTACTTTTGCATTCTTAAAATCCAATATTGTGATTCTTGTAATAGCTAAGTTTTTTCTTAAATTAGTTACTCTAAAATCCTGATATTCTTTATTGGTAGGCAATTTAATTATAAATCTATATGAATATATAAATTGATATCTTGTTATCGAGTTTTTGCACATAAAATTTTCAGGGTCTCTCACTTTGTGTTACAATTAGGACTGGGCGATACATCGATTTATCGGAAAACATCGATGTTATAAAATCATCCCCGATCCGATGTTTAGGTTGGCGTATTTTACGAAGCATCGGAAATTCCGATGTCCGCGCGTTGTGTACGATGTTTCCCCGATGCCGCGAAGAGCGATTCTTCGGGTTCAACAGCGATGTTCGCGAAGAGCATTTCCCCCGATTACGAGGCGACATCGATTGCCATGACGATCTTTTCCCTTGTGTTTCTTCCTTCCCGAATTATCAAGTAACGATGTACTGAAGATGAATTCCGATGTGATTAGGAGTGAAACTAACTCATCGCCAATAAAAGATGAAAAAGTGCTTTCTTCAATTCGTGTAAATCCAAGAAAAGAAAGTGATTCTCTGAGGATTATTTATATTTTGTTATTTGATAATACTTTGAGATCATTTTTGTCTTATTGAAGAAAAGAGTGTTTTTGATCAGTTCCGATAAGACATTTTGTTTGTTTATTTTTTTACCTATTTATTTTTCTTTGTTAAATCTGAAGAATTGCATTCCTTCAATATAGATAAAATGTTTTCATTAATAATTTTGTATAAAGTTGCAATTTTGCATATTGACCACGTTTTCAATTATTAAAAAATGATTATCATTACTGTTAGAAAATATAAAAAAATCTAATATTTTTGCAAAAAATTTTGGCAAACGAGTTTTTAAACCAACGACTTATCAAACGCAAATTTTCTTTTTAGGACAGTCGTTCTGTTTTTATTTCTTTAGTATTTTCTTTTTCGACTTGATTGCTTTTTGATCTTCCTTATTTATAGCAATTTTTATGAGAGTGTGCAGTTAAATTTTATTTTCACGAAATATAGTTTAGCAACATAATAATACATTAGGTTAGCAATAATTATGAAAATAAATCTTTAAATAATTGATTTTTACAATATTGAAGCCATAATAATTTCCACTGTATCCTTTTCCAGGAAATTTTGTTTTTATACTAGTTTTTCGCTATTTCCTCAAAAATATTGAAGGTATTATAAATTATTAATAAATAATTGAAATTGAATAATTTAATAAATTATTGAAGGATATTCTTCAAGAAATTCTGGAGAAAGAATGGCCAAGAGGTTATACGCATCGGCTGTTCTAAGTTTTCTATCTTTCTCAATCCATAATTTTTTTTTATCTTTTTTTATTACGTTTTTTATTTTTCTGTTTATAAAGATTTTTAAAATTGAAGATTTTTAAGATTGTTTTAAAGATTTTTATAAAGATTATTAATTGTTGGCTCAATGCGCATTTTAAATTTCATTTTATTTTTATAACTGCATCTATTTTATTTTTACAGTTGGCTGACATACTTTGCGGCAGGCTAAGACTTTTGGTCTATTGATCTGATTTTCACGTATTAGGACTTAATCTTTAGTGGTTTGAGGGAGAGACCTCAAATATGCTAATTAGTTTAAGCAGACAATATTTTAAATTACGAAGTGAGGTACAAAAGCGTACTTATCTGAATAAATTTTTTTGACGGATTATGATTCCTCACCCTCAAAATGTAAGGCATAGACGTAATCTGAGAAATATAGTCCTATTAATTTGGTCAGGAGAGAGATTGAAAGTTAGGATCTCTTGATGTTAACGCTACTTTTTGCTTATTTCGTCAGATCTCAAGATCTGTTTACTGGAATTGAAAAATTTTAGAACAGAATTATAATCATTTATCCAAAGATAATTTTATGCAAAAATGATTTTAATTAATTTTTTTATTAGTAATAGTAGCAAAAAGTTTGAATTGTAAGGTATATAATTTTTTTTAAAGAATATAATTTTTTATTTTAAAATGAAAAAGTAAAAAGAAATTAGTTGAATAGTTTCTGAAAAATAAATTTCAAAAAATCAGACTTTTTGAAATCAGATTACTAAGTCAAAAGTAATTTCTTTTTCAACACTACACTCTATCCACAAATATCAAATATTAATTGCTAAAATATTCCTGTTAAGATTAATTTATTATAATATAAAAGTTGAAAAAAATGCACAAATTTCTTCTAATTTTATTTTCTAGAAAAATTATTTCTTAATGTAATAATTTTTTAATGTGCTTCTGTCTAAGATACCAAATCATCCTTAAGAATGCTGAAAAGTAGCAATAATTTTTGTTAGCCAAGGTTAAAGATAATTTACTAATTTTTTTCAAAGCTGCATGTAAAATTTTAATGAATTATTCGTTTCACTAGTTAACTATTTATTCATTACCTTCTTTCTTTAATTTAAAAACTTCCGATTTTTTTTCAGCAAAATCTGAAGGTAGAAAAGATGTGTTTTGTTTAAATTGAAAAAGACAGTCTATTGAATTATTTTTATCCGAAAAAAGAAAATAATCTTAAAAAATAAATAATGAATAAATATTTTTCACTTACATAATTTTATTAATATATATACCAGGCTATAAAGTCATACATTTAATTTACTCCTATCTTAACTGTTTTCCCTATTGATTATATTTTTATATAACTTTATTGAAATTAAATACAACATTCAATTATTTATCACTTAGTTGTTTATATACACCTATAAAATGAATGTAATTGGTATAATGTTAGTTTGATGCATTTTGGCAAATTTTCACTTTTTATAAATTTTATCTGAATATCCCTCTATTGAACTTACGCTCTTTTTTCCCCAAACACACAAAGTATATATATATTTAAAATTTCAGTCTTAGTCTTACTTTTCAGTAGCATCAAATAAATAAAAAGCAAAAGTTGTGCAATGCAAAATTTGGCAAAACCAAATGTGAAACAGCAATGTGACATTGCGATGTTTGAGTAGCGATGCATCACGATGCTGAAATCTTAACATCTCCCAGTCCTAGTCACAATTACCACTGGCCTTGAAACCAGGGGTAGTATTATATATATATTTATTTCCACTGTTTATTTTAACCAAATTTTGAAAGTAACCTTAAATAATCACACGGAATATACTATAAAATTTGTAGCTTTATGATGTATTTATCTCTTTTAGAAATTCCTTTTTTTTTCAGATTAAATTTATAACCTTAAATTTTCTAACAAATTAGGGATAATTATATTCTTGAATTTATATCAATTGAAATTATTTAAAAGAATGAATTGAAATTCATATTTTCAGAGAACTTCAAAGACTGGATTGCATTACTCGGTCACCAGTTTATTCACATTTTTCAGAAACTGTTGCTGGATTGTCCACTATCAGAGCTTTCAGGTTTGTGTGTTTTAACTTTATAGTAATTAGATGAATTACCAATTAAGTGTTTTTTTATTATTGCAATATTCTGCATAATAATCATTTTTACTTTTTAAACATATAAACTTACTGTATATCAATATATATTCTATATTATTGTATACTTCAAAAAAATATTTTGTTTCATAAAAATAAAAAAATTTAAGGATAATTTTTTTTTATGTATTATCATAAAGATTTTTAATGTATACATGATTTGTAAAAATTGTTAACAAATCTAAAGACTGAACTATTTTTAAATAATATTTTTCTTATCTTGGTAAACAAGATTAGTATGTTCTGTTTCAGAATCATTTAAGCTTTCCCTTTAAAAAAAAATTTTTTTTTTAAATAACCTTTCTTGAAACTACACTAAGAAAAAGTCATCACTCTTTTTCCTTGTGGTACTGATTTTTATAGGATTTTCTTCCTTGGTTTTTTGGTTAAAGTCTGGTAATGTGTAGTTTATTTATTCTAATATGATAATTTAATTTTTTTTCTAAACCCTTAATTCAGGCTTTCTTTTTAGTTAAGAAAGTTAAAAAACATACTTTTTATAAAATAAAATTTTACAAGATTTTTGTCAGCCATATTAAATTAAAAGAATCACAACATTGAATTTCAAGTTTATTTATTTATTCCATAAATTTGCTTTCCACCCCCTTCTTAGCATAAGCAACAAAAAGCAAATAAGGAAATTATGTAATTTCTCAATTTAATTGCTTACTTTCATGAAGGATAGTGTTTAAATGGCTCAAATTTCTTAAACTCAACAGAAATGGATTTTTTTTTCAGAGCAGAGAATCGATTCACAGACATGATAATGACTTGCATTGATGTAAATAATACTGCATTCATCTTAGTTAACTGTTCAAATTGTTGGTTAGGTGTTTCTCTTGTAAGTATTCCATTTTTATTAATTTTATTTTAATTATAGTTTGTACCAAAAATTAGCTAACCATGTTGCTAAAAGGAAAATTGTTGTTTCAATGCTCTTCAGTTTTTCTAATTATTATCATATTTTTTTTACACATCATGCCATTATAAAATTCTGATAACTCATATAATTATAGTTAATAATTTTCATTTCCTTTATTTCATTTTTCAAAATCATTTCTAGGATCAATAATAAATCACATTTTTTAAAGGTAATATTTTTTATGCCAGACTGCTCCTTATTATTGTTTCCAGAAAGATACCTAATAAGTTTGTAGAATTTTCACTAGATGGTGACAGATAAGAGAAAAACAACTGATTTCCAACATGAATTTATTGTGTTTTTGCCAAAAACGTTTTTCTAAACATTTTGAAACTGTTGCTTATCATGCTCCATGACCTGGAATCATATGCTGACTAAAACATAACTTGCTCAAGTTTATCGAATAAAACCAATTTTCATCCTTTGTAACCAGTAACCTCCTTTGATATTCGAATTGCCCCTGTATAGGACACAAATTGGGAAACAATACCTTTTTTTGTTATGAAACAAACATTCTGAAACAGAATTGTTTTAAATGTGTTTCTTTAAATGTCTAGTTCGTTTCTAATTTTTCTAAAAAAAAGCTAATATTTTTTCCAAATTCGTGCTACACTTACGTAAAAAAAAATAATATGAATTTTTTTTATAAAAATAATTAATCAATAAATGTAATTGAATTGTATCATTGTTGAAAATTTGATTTTGAGTTAAAGCATTATAAATATAAAAATAATTTTAAAATGTCATTTGCATAGGCGCAAAATTGTTGTACTAGGCAGTTTTAAAATTGCATCAAGCATCCAATAAAATCAATGTTATTAATATATTTATTTTGAAATTTTATCTTTATTTTAAAAGTTTAGTTTGACTGAAAGGAGAACATCATTTATTATAATTTGTTTTAACCAGTTAAAATGAAGGTAAAGCCGTTTAGTATGAATTCAGTTATTTATTTATTTAATATCACTTTTAATTTAGTATGAATTCAGTTATTTATTTATTTAATATCACTTTTAATTTTCGTTTCAGGAGTAAAATATTTAGTTTTTTTTCACTGATTTTTTGCATCTTTTATCCTACTTAAATTTTTTTTCCCTGTTGTAAAAAACTTTTTTCAGGATTATCTTGGTGGTATTATACTTTTCATTGCTACCTTGGCATCCATGTTAACTTCTATTTATGGAGAAGTTTCAGAAGCTTTTGTAGGAATGGCTATGACTTACACTTTATTAGTAAGTAATATTATATGTTTTTATGTTCACTTCAATAATATATATTAATATTCTAAATTCTATTTTTATTCGTATCAATGATATTATATATGCTAACTTAATATATCATCAAAAGTAAACTATGTTACGATAAAAATTTTAGGTAAATTTTCATCTCCGAAAGTGAAGTTCAGTGTTAGAATAGCTTGACTATAAAACAATATAATATTTTTTAAAGTTTGTGCAAGGACGATTGTGGCTTACTCTTTGTTAGTAAATAGAATTACCTTGCTGGATAATGTTATATTATCAATTCAAAATTAGATAGAAAATCCAAATTATGGAACAGATTTGTCACTGTATATATGGTTTTCTACAAAGGGCACCCTTAATATGTATTCTTAGACATGAAGACAAAAAAAGTCTACACATTGTTGATATGATAAATAATTGCTTGAAGAAAAATAAAAATGATATCAAAATCTTAGTTGTATGATACACCAAAAAACCTGTTTGATTGTAAGACAATTTGAAAGATAAATACGAAAAACAACTTTTAACTTTCAATCAGCAAAAAAGATTGCTAAGTTTTATAAACTGCTTCCCGAAATTCTGATTTACCAAATTTCAATAGAGTTTGTTTTTTCCCTTGCTTATATGTTAATTTGCAATTTTGTATCAGTATACTTTTTTACATTCTAAAAATGCATAATTTGACTAAAAATTATTTATATTAAAAATATATATAATTGGTATTATTAAAAATAGATATTATTCTGTGATCATTTTGGAACACCCTGTTTAATTAATTAATGTTTTGTACTAGTTGTAGATATATAATTATATATTAGTTTTAGCAAAGTTAACTGTTAAATATTGTTTGAAATTTATATCTCTATTGAAATCTAATTAATTAGTAGTATAGAATAGGTATTAGGTATATGTAGTCATTATAAATTTTTCATGGTTAGTCAAAATCTTTAAACAGTAATACAGACATCCTAAAATAGAAATTTTTCTACTGGGAAGAAACCAGGACTACAACATATCGTCTTTAAATAGAGATTGTTGTTAAGCAGAGAGTTATTAGACAAAGACTTATAGTATTGTAATTTTGATCAAAAAAGTGTTTTGCAAGTGAAGGTTTCCTATGTTAAATTTAGCTTTAACAATTTTTTCACACTTGATAAGCTTATTTTTAAACATAATTACACTTTTCTAGATTAATTTAAAAAAAAAAAAAAAAAACATTGTTTGGGGATTTTGAAAAGTTAGATGTTGCTTACTATTTTTTTTTCATATTATAAAACAGAATTGATTCTTAAATGTTTTTTCTTTCCCGTATAGGTACCAGTATACTTAAATTGGGTAGTTAGAAATTTAGCTAGTGCTGAAATGTATATGAGCGCTGTTGAAAGAGTAAGAAACTATTCAAGACTGCCTACTGAGGATAACTCTACAAAAGATTTGACTGGTATATAGTTATTAAAAAAAAATATTTTTTTTTATCTTTAAGTACAATTTTTATTTTTTAATTTTTACCTTTTTTTTATAATCTTTTTATTTGTCTCTTATATTGATAGGTTTGCCAGACAAATGGCCTGAATTTGGTGCTATAACATTTCAAAATGTTGTAATGAAATATGATTCAAATAGTGATCCTGTTTTGAAAAATGTGTCGCTGACAATCAAAGCTGGTGAAAAGGTATAAAACGTTTGTTCTGTGATGCATGTGCTAAACCTAGTATTAATTTATAAGTATATCATGGGTTAAATAACTCTTGAATCCTAAGAACTGAAATAAGGCTTCAGAAAAGGAAATCTGAACTAAATTCTCTCCTCCAATTAATATCTATCTCCATTTTTTTTCCAACATTTACTTTCTGAAAATAATACAAACAAAAATTTTATGTTTAAAGAAAACAATAAAATTATTACTTTTTAATGAAAACATAGTTATTTTTAATATACATCAAACAATTGCCAAAAGAAAAAAAATTTAAAAAGTTAAATCAGTAAGAATGTTCACACATTTGTCCTTAAAATGTAAATAAAATCAATCATAGGTAACTCCCAATTAGGCATTTCTTAGCTCATTTTTTGTGCATTAGACCTTTTATTATTATATTTCCCCTGGCTTTGATTTAACAAGCAAATTATCTTGGTTCTTTTGTTCTCATTATAATTGAGTTTGACTATTGTATTGGTCATGAAAGCTTGTTGCTGTTATAATGTTGTAAATTCTTAATTTAAACAAAGTATGGCATTTTAATGCCATTTATATTTTTCGTAATATTTCCTATTATATTTTCGTAATATTTCATATATTTTCCAAAAAGTATGGAATCAGCCAAATATTTAGAGAAATCAACTTAAAAAATAATGCATTATTCAATGATATAATCTCGACCCCTCAACTCTCACTGAATCTGATGCGACTTGGTTGAGTCAGGAAATGAAGTCAACTTTGTCATTAGATAGGTTTTTTTTCTCCAAAATATCACATTTTTTTATTATTTATTTTTTGATCAAATACATATTTTTCAAGACATGACTATTTTAACAATTTATTCCCCATTTTCTTTTTGCACTTACAGCCTTAAGTTTGAACTAAATAATAAAATATGTAGGTCGAATTGGTGTACTTTGTTCTGAAGAATCCCGATTTGCTCTAAAAAAACTGAGGTTACTATTTACGATTTTGAAGTTTTCCCCAGCCCCTGGGGATGAGATTTGGAGGGTCGAGTTTGGTATCTTTGATTGCATTTTTTAAAAATTTTGATACATTTATTATAAGACTTTTAATCTAATATGTATTTCTCATGGTTAGCCGTTTCATTAACCATACATGCACTTTTTTGACACCCTTTATAGGTTTTATGACTTGTTTACAATTCTTTGATTGATTAACCTCTTTTCATTGATAAACCTCTTCTTTTTATTGATTAACTTATATGATTATGTAATTTATTATTCATTATGAATACAGGTTGGAATCTGTGGTAGAACTGGTAGTGGTAAATCATCTCTTATAATGGCATTGTTTCGCATGGTGAACATTATAAGTGGTAGAATTGAAATTGATGGTGTTGATATAATGGATATCCCTCTTGAAGTTTTAAGATCCAGGCTGTCAATTATTCCTCAAGAGGCTGTTATATTTTCTGGAACAGTTCGGTAAGATTCCTTTTTATGAACACTTTTTTTATAAATTGTTTTAAATATAGATCTTTTATTCATTATTTCTATTTTGCAATTAACTTATTCATTGGTTTTATTGAATTGCTATATTATTGAAATTAATCATTGAGAGTTGAAATTGTAAAAAAGGTAACCAAAAAATATCAACAAATTCTTTTGCTTAGAGACCCCAACATTGTAAAGGATTTGAATGCTTAGCTTCTGTTGTAGAGCTTGTACTAACTAACAACCTTTTCAACTATTATTATTATTTTTTACCTTTCGCAGAATTTGGTTTTTGTCATGTGACTCTTTTTTTCTTTTTTTAATGAAACTTTCCAATTTTGTTCTGAATTAATTAAGTTGAGGTTATACAGTAGTCTAGCTAAGAAGATCTTTGCCTTCTTTGAATTGGCGTGCTTAAATGTTGATGAAGTTGGGGCAATATAGTAATGTCACATTTTTCCAAAGCTACATTTTTCACATCAAATTATTCCTTAATATTGTTTTAAAATTGTTACTTCACAAATTTTGAGAATTACTATTAGATTGAAGCATAATACAATGGAAGCCCTATTTTACGTTGTACGTTATCCCGCTTCCTACATCATTTTCTGTTGGTGCATGAAAATTGCGTATGCCAGTGATGTTAAATTATTCCGAATTTTACGTAACCTTTTTCAAGAAAATCCTGCTTTGTACATTTTTGTAACAGATCAAAATCCTATTTTCTAAAACAAAGTCTGCAAAATCTTTTTACAAATTCTTTCTTTTTTTCCCTTCTTTAAAAAGGGAGAGCGATTTGTTTAATAGCTGTTTGAAGCTATTCTGACATTCTTTCTATTTTGTCTTAAATCTGTGAGAACGGGATTTTCTCCTTTAGTCTCAAAAATGTGGAATAGGCAAAGTACAGAAAGGGTGGTTAAAGGAAGTATGGGAGCTTAAATTGTAAAATTTTTTGGTGGAATTTTTTCTACCAAACTTCAACTTCTTGGAATAATCCAATCATTTAAAGAACGTTACAATAAACATCTGGTCAGGGGATCATTTATTTTTCTTTATTCCCAGTGACATGCTAGGTGCTTTTAAAGCAATCATCGAGAAGCTCTGAATTTGATTTCTACAGTGTTGATTAAATGCATTACAAGTGGGTTTAATAAAGCAGGCTATTCAGTATCCAATGGAAACATTGGCCTTCGAGAGTAAAATTGTGTGACTAAAGATCTTTCAAAATAGATGACGTGTATATAAACTGTAACACACATCTGATTACTTTCATTTCCTTCAATGTCTGATTTAATGCCTGTTTCTGATGATAGGAATGAAAACGAGGAAGATGAGCAAAAAAATATCAAAGAACATACACACAATTGATTAAGAGTTTCAAAACATAAAAATTTTGAAAAAATATTTATTTGCTAATACCAAAACTCAGCCTTTCATCCCTTCAATGGGTCGATAAATGAGTACCAAGCATGCTTGGGAACTGGGGATTCCACGTTCACGATTGAACACTGGGGGTTCCATGTTCGGCTGACGACCTTACCTTAACATCTGCTCCTGCACCCTAGAGCCCAAGGTCAAGAAAACTGAGATGGGCACAGTAGGCCTTGGCCCTCTATGGGCTGTCGTGCCGCAGAGTTTACTTTTTAGTTTAATACCAAAAATTAATATGAACAATATTTATTTGCTTTTGTAAACTAAAAAGCAAATTTCAAAACAATCGTAAGTATTGTTTTTGATATTGTTGGAATACTTTTTTTACAATTACAATTTTTTAGCGCTAGTCTGGCAGAAAATGTAAAATCAGGGTTCCACTGTACTTAGAAACATCTTATTAAGTAAGTGAAAAACACTTTAAAATTGTGTTTGTCATCTTAAGCACACTCCTGCACAATTTGAAATACTGCACAGGATTGTACAGTTTTTTTAATTATATTGCCCCATTATTTGACTGTACAGTTTGTGCTAGATATTTTGATCCCATAAGCAGAGATGATTGTGCTCCGGCAAAAATCCGGATATCCGGATTTTTTACTAACTATGATCCGGAAGTTTCCGGAAATCCGAGGTCCAGAAGTTTCAAGAAATCTATCACATTTACGTATAAAAATTCTCGTAAATTTTAGTTAAAAATATTAGAACTAGAATATAAGAATTAGCACCTTTTTCGTTTGTTAATATTTTTTTTGACAGAATATTAAATGTGATTAGAGATAACGGTAAGCTTATACATAGTTATTCATTTAAATTATGCTGCATACAATTTATTTAGAATTTCATGTTTTGAAAATATCAATGATTTTAATTTATAGAGACTTATATTTTTTTGAAATGCATCATTAATGATTTTACTCAAGAAATTTTCACGATTTTTGTGTTGGGCTCATCCCTGCATAAGTAAAAATGAGATTATTTGAACCTATTTTAGTATAGAATGTGATAATCATATTTTGTTAGGTTTGTAATATCTTTTGATAATAGCACAGGAGTATTAAAATATTTTAATAATCAAATTAAAGATATGAATTCATTTTTCAGTATTTAGTTTTGTAATGAAACCTGGGTTTTATTATTAATTCTTTTGATTGGACAATTTATGCACGACTTTTTGGTCTCATAAGCAAAAATGAGATGATTTGAACCAACTTTCATATAGGATGTTCTATTCCTATTTTCTTAGGTTTGTAATAGCTTCAAATAATAGTATATAGTATAAAAATATTTTAATAATCCAATTAAAGAAATTAGTTGATTTTTCAGTATTGATTTATGTAATTAGACCTGGATTTTATTGTTATTTCATTTAATTGTACAATTTATAATAGACATTTTGGTTTCATAAGCAAAAATGAGATTATTTTAATCTTCCTTTGTATAGAATGTGTTCATCCTATTTTGTTAGGTTTGTAATAGCTTTAACACACAAGTAAAATATTTTAATAATCCAATTAAAGAAGTAAGTTAATTTTTCAGTATTGATTTTTGTAATAAAACCTGGATTTTATTATTATTTTGTTTGATTGTGCAATTTATGCTAAGCATTTTGTTCTTATAAGATGATAAAATAAGATTATTTAAACTAGGTAGAACTAAAGAAATTACCTTTATATGGAAGGTGTGAATCCCATTTTGTTAGGTTTGTAATACCTGCAGATATTAGTACACAAGTATAATATTTTAGCGGTGCAATTAAAGAAATTTTTCAGTATTGAATTTATTATTGAAATCAAAATTTTGTATGATACTTTATTGTATTTTTTATTTATTAGGGAAAATTTAGATCCAGCAAATGAGTTTTCTGATGAAGAACTATGGAATGCTTTAGAAGCTGCTCAGTTAAAAGCGATAGTTAATCTCTTACCTGGTGGTTTAGGTAAAAAAAATTCTATGTTTTTATGTGCAAAAAAATATATATATATTCTTTTCTTAATTATGCATTTAGCTAAGTTTAACAAGACAGTTTTTAGTCATTTTACAGCATTCTGTAAATTTTAAAAGTAAATTAGATATATTAGACTGATATTTATTACTCAAAAATTATTAATGAAAACAATTTATATAAATACCTTAATAAAATAACTTCAAAAAAAAACTTGAATTGTGCAGTGAGAAGACAAAGCAAACATTTTAATATAGTTAATGACCATGTAAAATCTTACAATAAAACGGATTCACATAGTCTTCTTGGTTGCGATAGTTGTTCGAGTGCAGAATTAAGGAAAGATCATGCTAAGTGTAATGTAGTTTAAGGGGGGAAATCTGACAAGTTAGCTTTGAAATAATATATCAAAAGTGATATTATTCGAACATTCAGTTCATATTCCATCTGAATTTGTATTGCAATAAAAATGTCCTAAAACCTATTACTCATAATTTTGTATTTGTGGTTTGATTATCATGCGAAGAAAACTAGTGATACAATGTTTGAAAGTAGTTAGGCTAATAACAGTGCTTGCTTTTATCTGAAAAACAATATCATGAAGACATTAAATGCATATTTCTCTTTGTTGCATTGAAAAGTTTATCGCCTAAGTCCTGGTGAATTGTGATATAACACAATTGTAAGACAGCTGCGCCATTGATTATGTCAAAAAAATTTGCGTTAATCACAGTTTCCAAACAAAATTTTTAATAACTCAATGAAGGTTCTAATCCCATTTATATAGGAGTAGCAAGGTGCAACTGTAGTTTTTATTTTATATTATTTGTTTTAAATTTGAAACCAAGTTTAATCAGAATTTAATCACATGAGGATTTAATAAAACTCGCCTATATAAAATGTTTCTCATGTTTTACAGATGCTCAAATTTCTGGCGAAGGTTCAAATCTGAGTGCTGGGCAACATCAGGTATTAAATATTTCTATTATTTACATATGTTGAAAAAAAAAGGCTCTCAAAATTGCTGAAGGACTTGGAAAAATATAAATAAGCCACATTTTCAAATCTTTCTAAGGAGAGTATTTTTTCTAAAAGCATTTTTTTATCAAGTTTATCTTGATTTCAGTATAGACAATGAAGATGGTTCTGTGTATTGTGCTGCGAAAATTCTTGAGACTTGTACTTGTGATATAGAGGGAATATTTTTAATATAGGCATCGAAGTATTTCTGCTGTTAGGGCAAATTCTGTGGAATTCTAATGCAATGTGATGTAAAAGCAATACTGAGAAACTGTTTCCTTTGTAAAAAGTTTGGTTAAGCAGCATATTGCCCTAACCATTCAAACTGATAAATTGTTAAAAAAAGTTTTTTTATTTTTTATACTGAATCATATATTGTAGTCATGAAATATATAGTTAGATTTAAACCCTCTTTTATTTATACAAGGTATGCCAGTTTTTCATGCTTGTAAATTATGACTTTTCTCTGGCAGTTAGCAGAAAACGTTTTGCTCGATCTCAGTGTGCTACTTATAATTTGTTAAGTGCGTGTTTATGTAAATTATGGAATATTATAAGTGCATTATTTTAATATCTACTCAATAGTTTTATTGTATAGTATTTTAACCCCATAACTCAAATTATCCAGACAAAATTTCTGTTTCAAAAGAATCTCCTCTGAATAACATAAGAAAAATGATTTTGTACTGACAAAAAAGCAGCTGGTCCTACTCCTAACTACAAGAAACTGCGTTCTAAAAAAGAAATAAGGAGTTAGCCTTCTCAGCGAATGCTTTACTTTAAAATTTATAAATGCATACGAATGTTTTTAATAACAGACTTAGAAATCATATATCATAATATGATAATGAAACAAAGTAATGTTTATTATTAATATTATGCTGACTCTATAGCGCTGCTTTTAAGCTTCTTTAAATTTAGATTATTGTTTTTATTAGAGTTCCTTTTGTACTGATATCGATTAGAATAAATAGTAACTTTGTTCAATTAACTGGAACATGCACTTTTTTTGCTGTTTTCTAAAGAAATTATTATTAACAAAAATTTGTCTCCAGATTCTCTGGAGAGAAAAATTTTTTTTTGCCTCTTTGAAAAAGCTCTAGCTCTTACATCTGCTTAGATTGAGGATGGACATTAGAGTGTATCAGTTTCTCTAATATCGAAATTAGTTTCATCTCTTTTTCAGTATTTAAAGGAAGGCCTTTCCATTTCCTTTTTTTATTTTCTTTTGTAACCCGCATTGAACAGCCAACCCAATTACGAATTTATGACTATCAATGTTCAACTCTGTAGCCTTGTAGTTTTGACAATAACTCAACCAACAAGACATAGGAACTCCTGGATCTAGCCTTTGTAGGTACCTTTTAGATGGAACTAGCCTGCATTACATGGAGAGGAAAATTATGAAATATTTACCCCGACCTGCCCCAATTTAGGGCATACGGGTAAATGTTTATTAAAATCATGAAAAACAGAAAAGTACATAAAATACAAAAAGTAACATTACAGAGTAACAATATGTAAACATTACAGAGTCTGATGGCAACAGCAGTAAAATAATTAAAATGCTTCGAGAGTCCCGCCTTATAGTGCCGAAGCCGACGGGGCTTCCCTTATAGTGAGCCAAAGACACAAATGAAAAATTTTACAACACATCACAGGAAAGAACAGTATGACATACAATGCATCATGTGCAGGCAGTACATAGGATTAAAACGAGTAATATTGTGGAGTAAGTTGGGTCGCTAAACCAAAGCGATCATTAACATTGTGACAGGATATAAAGGACACAAAGTATAAACTGTTGATGTATTCAAGAACAGTAAAACATAAAGTGAACCATTAAAAAATAACGTGTACCTGAAGTGAACATAAGAAAACATTAAAAGGTCACAGGTAAACGGAGGTCCCAAGTTAATATAGGTCAAGGAACCAATACAGTCGATGACAAATTGACAACAGGTAAGACAGAAGAACAAGGCGTAAGGAGCCAAGAAAATCTCAAATGTAAAACAAAAGGAGGTGAAGATGTAAAGTGGTAAAATAAACAATTATCAAATACAATTAAAAGGCGACGCTAAAATTTGCAAAGCAAGGAAAGGCAATGTAAATAAGCCAAATAAAAAGCACAATGTAGTGAATAAATAGATTCAAACAGAATTAAAAAGCGAATGAGATAGATAAAACAACCAAATGTCAAAATAACGGGAAGCGAACAGGCGGGGAGCCCAACAACCGAGACTGAGTTTAGTTCGTGTAGAGCGGATTCAAAATGTCATCAGAGGCGAGTGCGTCCTCCAGGGTGCGTTTAATGATGTCTTTAATTTTTTTAAGTCAATAGGTATGACTCCTGCAAGCATTTGTAGTGCCTCCGTGCTAGTTGTAGAGTAGCATTTAGTGGTGTTGAGCAATGGAATTCTTTGGATAGTTAGGAGCTTCTGGTTTGAATTCTGGAGAGGAAAATTATGAAAATCTCCCACGGTTAGCCCGAAGGAAAATCTAACCCATGATCTGTCTACCAGTGGCAATATTTTATGTCAGCGCTGTGGTCGGTACGAGATGGGAGCAGAATTCGTATCAACCAACCACCTCTGAGATTCAAACTTGGTTTACTTTGTTGGACGGAAATCGCTCTATTTCCTGTGCAGCCAAGGCTGTTCCATTTCCAATTAAAGCAACACATACCATAGTAAATACTTAATTTTTCTAATAAGTTTTGTTGTTGGAGGTATTTTCAAACATCTCTGAAAAGCACAAAAGAGGCAATTGTTAAAAGAGTGATGAAAGACGAAATCAAAATTTATATAGCACCTGAAGTATCACATTTTCTGTATCAGATGTTGAAATAGTGGTTTAAATTTAAACTTTAAGCCAATTTTAGTTGCCTTGTATAAGTTTTGGGTCTTTTTTTTTAAAAGTTGCTTAATTACCAGGATTTTTTCATTAGCTGAGAATATATTTTATTTTATTCATTTTTATCTTTTTAAAGATTTTTTTAATTACTTTTTAGCTTTTCTGCCTTGCAAGAGCTTTGATAAGGAACTCTAAAATACTTGTGATGGATGAAGCTACTTCCTCTCTCGATCCAGAGACTGACCAAATATTACAAAATGTTGTAGCTGAAAATTATCAAAGTAGCACTGTTCTTTCAATTGTCGTAAGTAATAAATTATGTTACCATTACTAATGGGCGTTCTAAAAATGATTGATTTGAAAAAAGAATAAATGAAAAGTGGATGTAGACCAAAATGCATGCTTTACTTACTTTGCTTTAAAAATGAATGAATGAATGAAAAGTGGATCCAGATCAAAATTCTAGCTTTACTACTTTGCTACATTCTGTTTAGGAGACTATTTTCTTGCCAAGTTTCAAAATTAGTTATCAAGTTCATCAATAGATGACACTGTCGAAAAAAAAAATTTATGATGGCATATTTTGGAATCATCCTCGGAGATGTGCAGCTGTAATACGACATAGAAAAAGTAAAATTCCTTTTTTGTGAGCTACTTGGCTAATAATTTACCTGTAAATTATTGGCCAAATAATTTACAGGTCTACGATCCTTATTTTAGTCATTATAGTTTTGGAAGATATATCATATTTTGAATTGAATTATATTCAGAATCCGTCATTAGTAACTCATTTATAGAATTCCCAAACATATTCAAATATGATTGTTTTATTCAAAAGACGTAATTGGAATGACTCAGAAAATAATTGGATTGACATAGGAAAGACATAATATCTGAGTTGCCGTATTGAATAGGAATATCATATTAATTAGGAATATGGACATTTAATTTTAAAATTAGTAATAATAATTGGATATTTTTTCTAAAAGAATAATTTAAGAATAAGGTAAGAGAATAATTAATAGAAGATACATTATCTTTTTTCTTTAATAAATATTAATTTAATTCCTAATATCNCAGACAATGATCACGAGCAAACGCTTTATCCCTCTGAATTTTTAAATAGTCTTTCTGTGAGTGACTTACCTCCTCACAAACTCATATTGAAAGAAAACGCCATTGTGTCGAAAATTTTCATCGGAACAGTTTAGTTTGCGTAGTTTTAACTGGTGTTACGTGTGGACAACAAATTTTGATACAAAGAATACATTTCAAAAGTTCAGGGACACTACTGCCATTTATTTTTGACATAATTCAATTTCCGGTGATTCTATTTTTCGCAATGACAATAAACAAATCCTCATAAAAATGACGCTTACCCAAAACATGCAAACCTTGCAAAGTTAATGGGATTGTATTAAATTTCTAAATAAAATTGGCAATAGTACATTTGGTGATCTTATTGAGATATAGTCTCTGCTACAGCTCCAAATTTCTCAGCTACACGAAGAAAAGATAATCAAATTGTGAAGGGGGCAGAGAAGTGTATAAATTTCATTAAATAATTGATTTCAATATCTGGCATTTTTATTTTAAAATTTAAATTTGTTAAAATGTTTTTATAAGATTGCGAAGCAATATGCAATGGAACTGCGAAGCAGTTCTGGGGGTTGGCGAGCGTAGCGAGCAGGGGGCGGAGCTCCCTAGTGTTATATTAATTTAGTTAAAATGGTTTACAGCATATGATTCCTCAATTAAAGAGTGTTTCATTTAGGCAAACAATTTTCTTGGATTTCCTGAATTAAGCTAATGGATAAGCTCTAAACTTTCCAGTGCTCTTTTATTTTTTTTAATGGTGATTTAAATCTTTTTTTTTCCGTCTTTTAATTTTTTAGGCTAAAACAATAAAAAATAAGAAAGATTTTTTTGTGATTTTATTTTTTGGATGATTCTACAAATACAGATCACTTTTGTTCGGCTGATATATTTTATTCAATTTTATTTTAAATTGGGCTATGCAATATGTTCATTCTAAAATTAAATAATTATGCATTTTAGTTTTTATGATTAAAATAAAATTAAATATAAATAGGATTTGTTATTTTTGGGGGGGTTTTTTTGTTAGAGGTAGAGTGATAGATTAAAGAGAAACTTATTTTTTAATGTTTCTTTTTATGGCTAAAATTGCTTTCAACTATGAATTACATTAATATACAAACATTTATCTGTTCCTTATTATATTAAAAATTTCAAATTAAAATCTGAAACTCAAACATGTGCATAAATATATAGTTAAATTGCTGGAGCTTTTGCTTATTATCTGGGAGCAGAATCCCTTGGGTCCCTGGCCCTGTGAATATCACCTTTACCCCCTGTGGCAGGATTTTTTCTAGATTAAACTCTCTAGCACTAATATCTTTCTGCAAGATACTTTTAATACTAACACAGATAGATGTTACTAATTTAAAATACGACTAAAAGTACCACACTGTGTTTACAAAAAATTATAATAACATTAATTTTCTTAATTGAATATGTAATAATTTTTTATTCTAATATTATGGATGATATTCTCACATTTTGCTGGGGGGGAAACGCACGTATTATTTTCTTCTTCGCATTTTATAATTAATTATCACAATAAATTTTTTTTTTTAAATATCATGAAATCCGTAGTAGTAATTGCCAAATAAAAAAGATCTATGACGAAATCACATAAATCAAATGACACAAATGCGTGTTTCGTTTCGAGGTTAGGTTTTTGTAATAAATCATATCGTATAAAAAATATTAGTTTTAAAAACTATGGAAAAATCAATAGCACAATAACTTCCAAAAATTCAATAAAACTATTGCCTTAAAAAATAAATACTCAAATGCTGGATTCGAATTTTCCATATTGTTTGAAATATATAGGGATGTTTGAAAACCATGTGAAAATCAATATCAATAACTGCCGAAAATACAACCGAAACATTACATCAATTTACAATACTATTGGTGAAAATTGAGCCCGTCAAAAAGTGATTATTTAAACGCATGATTTAAATATTGCGTGTACATTTCTGTAAAAAAAAGGTAAATTTTTACTTTTCAAAAGAAAATCTTTCTGCAAGAACTTTGTAAAGTTGTGCGACAATGTCGCTGCGATTCTGCCACGGACCTTTGCCAATGTTTCTTTGGTACTGTGAAAGGATAACTTAACAACTATGGAAAAGCGTTAATTTGTATAGTTGCTATCTATAGGTTGACATTGTTTATTTGATGGTGTATTTAGTTCAATTTTCTTTTTATTTCAGCATCGTGTTCAAAGTATTCTGAACTTTGATAAAGTAATTGTGTTAGATGGTGGTCGCGTCGCAGAAGTGGGCCACCCAAAAGACTTGCAAGAAGTGAAAGGAAGTATCTTTGCATCGCTTTTGAAAGCAAGTCATCAGCATCATTGAATCTTCCATGCATTCATAATTTCATAACTACTGGTGCTTCTTAAACTTTAGGTTCTTGTTCATTAGCTCTAATAATTTTCCTTTTGTAGTCTTTTATAACCGTTGATAATTATGTTGTTATGTGTTGATAGTTGATTTAGAATTTTATGTTCTAGTGAAGAAAAAAAATTTTCAGATGAATAATGGTGTATGCAAATGTAAAGCAAGGCATGGTTAAAAATAGTTTACTTTCTTTAATAATCAGGGCAAATGAGTAAAGGGGTCTGTCAGCCTTTTTAGTGTGGGGAAGGTTGTTTATTATTGCCAATTTTCTATTTACATTATTTTCCATATGAATAAAAAAGAAACATGTTAATATTTCTCGATGTTTAAATCTCCATTTTAGATCTTCAATTTCTTTTAAAAATGTAAATTAACATTTTAATTAATGTGGGAACTCTGCCATATTGCTTTTTTTTCGATCTTTAACGTTTCTATGTAATTATACAAAAAATAGCAGTGCAATATGGAGTTATTATTTAAATTTTGTACAGCATTCATCTGTTGCCAACCTTATTTTCAACCTCACTGTGATTCTGGGATGTGTTGGAAAAAATTCATGTCCTGGGAAGCTCAAATAGCATAACACTTTGCAAAATATCTCTATTTCTATTTTTTCCTCATAATCAATAAAGTGGCTTGTATTTGCGGCAGTTATACAAGCAGTTTGTTTATACTACCTTTTCATGTGCAACAAAAATACTGTCTTTTATTTTCTCTTTTGGATTTAAATTTTAAGTAAAACCAACAAGGGGAAGAATTGTGTTATTTTTAGCAAATTTTAAAGATTGCTTTTTCCAAATAACATTTTGCTCTTTATATTCATACATGCCTTTCTTTACTTTTGACATTCCGGTTAAAAATTAGTGATGTACTATTTTGTTTGTTTTAAGAAAGCAAGAATGTCAGACGAGAAAATAAATGTTTTTAACTCAAAGTAAATCATTGAATATATTCTACATGTTATATTTTGCTGAAAACTCATAAGTTTTAATTATAGTATATTGTTTCTGTATTCTCACAAAATTTATTTGAAGAAGGTTCCCCTAATTTTTGACATTTCAATTTTCCTACGTATCCCTCGAGTGTCAGATAATAGGGATTCTACTATGTTAATATAATCATATATTTAAGCAGTAATACATATGAATTGATAATAATATATTAATATTTTGTGACAAAAAATTTTGAATTTCAGTTTTTAACCTTTTAACTGATTTGCTACTTGGACAAGTTTATACAAAAGTTTCTGTACCCAACACATATGGAATTAACGTGTGGGAAAGAAATATTTTTCACTGCAACCAACTGGGGTACCCGGAACTATGTTTGGGGTTGACAGCTTTAAAACAATAGATGAGAAACCTTGAATCTTTTCTTAGTTAATTTTATTGAGAAAAGCATTTTGCAGTNGTTAAAAATTAGTGATGTACTATTTTGTTTGTTTTAAGAAAGCAAGAATGTCAGACGAGAAAATAAATGTTTTTAACTCAAAGTGAATCATTGAATATATTCTATGTGTTATATTTTGCTGTAAACTGATAAGTTTTACTTATAGTATAATGTTTCTGTATATTAACAATTTATTGGGGTTCTACTATATTAATATAATCTTATATATTTAAGCAATAATACATATGAATTGATAATTATATATTAATATTTTGTGACAAAAAATTTTGAATTTCAGTTTTTAACCCTTTAACTGATTTGCTACTTGGACAAGTTAGCACTTACAAAATTTTCCGTACCCAACACAGGTGGGATTAACGTGTGGGAAAGAAATATTTTTCACTGCAACCAACTGGGGTACTCGGAACTGAGTTTAGGATTGAGAACAAGAGATGAAAAACCTTGAAGCTTTTCTTAGTTAATTTTATTGAGAAAAGCATTTTGCAGTAATATTATGCGCATTATCACTTTTGGTGGTAAATTGTTTTACTCATGTTTACTGATATAAAATTATCAAATTTTTTTTAATCCCTTTTTAGGAAACAAATCAATTTAGTCACATTAGATGCATCTTAAAGTATTGATATTAGTCAATCATGATTTTTTTATACTAAGTTTTACTTTCTGAAAGAAGTTTTAAATATTTTGCACCTTTTATTTCAACTTGTGAGACATTTTATTTGTGTGTTCATATATGTTTTATTAACAAGTGCTGGACATTTTTTATATATTATTTATTTGAATAATTGTGAATTGTTGTATACTTTATTTTATTTTATGGCGGTAAAGTCTATTTGTTTTAACTTATTTGTTAACAGGTTTTTATTATTTAATATTTTGCTTTATCCTGGTGACATTTGTATTAGTCAATAATAACTAAGTTGCAGCTATTGTCAACTAACTGATTTTAATCAAAATTAGATGTAGTTTATTCACTGTTATATTTTTGCAGAAAATGAGAGAAATATTTTAATGTATTTAATAAATATTTGTCTATTTTTACATGACAAACTTATATGCAAATTAAAAAAAATTTGTGCTGATATTTATAAAAATAATATATATATTCTATCCATATAATTTTTATATGACTGTATAATTGTGTAAGTTTATACATAACAATAAAGGTTTGCAAATCGTTCAGGTGCTGGTATGCTGGAGGAAATGTTTGATATCTCAGTCCATCATTTTATATCCATAGAGTGAAATTTTATCTTACAGACACTATCTGAGGATTGACCTCAGTTTAAGGACAATTTTTAAAATTATTGTCTCTCTTCTATGAAAAAAAGACATTGTATGTCTCTTCCCTGAAGTAGGTGTTCTATAAGCTACAGAAGGATAATAATTTACATCTTGAAAAACTCTTTTGAATCCCTTTAAATGTTTCTTTTTATGGCTAAAATTGCTTTCAACTATGAATTACATTAATATACACATTCTGTTTAGNGCTGGAGGAAATGTTTGATATCTCAGTCCATCATTTTATATCCATAGAGTGAAATTTTATCTTACAGACACTATCTGAGGATTGACCTCAGTTTAAGAACAATTTTTAAAATTATTGTCACTCTTCTATGAAAAAAGGACATTGTATGTCTCTTCCCTGAAGTAGGTGTTCTCTAAGCTACAGAAGCATAATAATTTACATCTTGAAAAACTGTTTTGAATCCATTTAAAATGGGCTTACCACATTTTTATGGATCAATAATTTTTTGTTTATAATTTTTTTGAACATTTTGCTTATGGTTTTGTGTAGTATTTTATATGGAATAAGGAAAAGGTCAAATCTTTATGAGAAGAGGAGGGGGAGAAAATTGCAACTCTAAACATTTTTATGACTTTTGAGTAATGGTTGATTGCATGATCTTTTCTCTAGAGCTCGATGGGACGAGTTATCTAATTGATAGGTATCGTCACCCTTTGTATCACAAATCATAATTTCTAGCTTGTCGAAAAGTGGTCAAAATTCTGATTGATTATAAATTCTATTTGTAGCAATCATGAAGTGATTGAAACTTTATGACACAGAATTTAAAATGAAGTTTGGGCATTCTAGTTTAAGTTAGTCAGAATTTTGATTTACTAATGACATAAAAAAACTGGAATTTAATGTTAATTGACCTGGAAAAGTCTGGTCATTTCACAATATCGTATTTGTATAAGAAATTTGATCTTAAAAATTAGTTAGGACGAGAAACCTCAAAAATCGTTGAATTTGGAATAAAGGTCACGAAAATTTTCGTAACTGGTAGACACCCCATAACTAACTACAAAAGGTTGTGAAAAATGTTCAGCAACTCAAAATAACATCTGAAAAACAAGCTTTGTTTGGAGATAAGCAATTGTATACCTTTTCGAAAACATATTATTTAATAACCCCATTTTCAAGGCACTCGTGTCATTTGGAGCATGAATTTCAAACAGGCTTTTTAATATTAAGTAAACAAAAGGAAAAATTAAAAGATTATATCGAAACTAAATTTTTTAAGAGTTTTTCATGTATATTCTTTGAGTCTAATTAGTAATTAATCTAAAAGGAATAATGTATTTTCGTTAAATATCTCATCCATAATAATAAAATGATTTCTTTGTGAAAATGTAACCTGTTTTATAAAATGATGATAATTTACAAATATATTTTTATTTTGAAATTCGCTTCTTTATTCAGGGGTGATTGTATCTCAAATACTTCATTAAGCGGAAACTCATTTTCCCAGAGATCCGCAATTTAAAATTTATATTTTGAAATTTTTGCTAAATCCCGTTAACGAGACGTTCATGTATATGTGATTCTACCAATTTGATTCTTTTCGTTTAGCGGATTTTCGCCATTTTGATTGAGTCGGAATCCTCTTATATCCGGAATGTAATATTGAACATTAAATTTTGTATTTAACTTTATTTAAAAGTTATACGTTGAGATTCGTATTCACGCGATTTAAAAAACCTATTTCATGATTCATATTCTTTTGAGTTATAAATATCCAATATCAAGATCCGTATTCACAAGAGTTTAGAATCCAATGTCGTGATTCGTATTCACATGATTTTAAAACGCATTATCACAATTCTGGTAAGAACTGAGATTTTTTTTGAAGTTAATTGATGTAAAGTTATGATATTCTTCATTGATGGGTAATTTAATTATAAATTTAAGTTCAAAAAATTATGTTAAAAAATGAAACATACATGGTATATATATTTATACTTAATATTGATTTTGCGCATAAAATTTTCGGGATTTTTTAACTTTTTGTGTCACCTGTTTATTTAAAATTTCTCTCCTCAAAAATTAATGGAGTGAAATCACTTTCTAAAAATATTCCTGATCTACTGGTCCAATCAGATTCTCTTGATTTTTGTCTTTTTCAGAAAATTTCCTAAAATAGAAAAAAAAATTCTATCAAAGTTGATTTTTTTCATTCATTATTTGCTTGAATATTTAAATAAGTATTACTGCTAAATAATGAAGTTAGCCAAATTTACACTTTACAGTAATCAGTCCGAAGCTTTCCTTTTTTTTTTTCTTTCAGTTTTCTAAAATTATCAATGTTCACAACTCTCTAATTTTAAATACGTCATAACTATCTATAATAATTTCAATATCCAAACTCATTAATGTCACCAGATATTGTTCTTCCTTCGATGTTTTCTCATTTTTCTCATTGTTTGGACATGCATACTATATTTAATAAGAAATCTAAGTCTTATTCTGTTCCGTTCTATACGTATAGAACCAATGTACCGATCAAATTCTCAATCGTTGGAAGCTTCCCTTTAGACATGTTTTAAATCTGATTAGAGCAGCATCATATAGTACAAATTATCAGAATTGATTGGTGCTGCATTGTACAGTACAAAACACACTAGTGTAAACTTATAAAATTTTATTGTCGATGAAAATGTTTAGATATTTTAATCATTATCTGCCTCGGGCCCGGATTCTGGAAGAATGTTGTTGATGCCAACTAATTGAATAATATAGAGAAATTAAAATTAAAAAGCTATTCATCCGCATCCCTCTTTAGTTAAAAGGAGGCAGATGATTGCTGCTATGGGAGAGTGACTAAATACAAATTCTGAATTTAAAATTCGATTTAGTGAGGATATTTCGTTCGAATTTTGTCATAGTTTAGAATTATGTAAAAATTTGTATTCTCTACAATATTAAAATTTTTTACTATTGTCAAATCTCTCTGTATTAAAGTTCACAAATAACTCGAGAACGAGAGCCCCGATTTGGGTGAGGATTTTTTTTTCTTCTAAGATTTGCAAATAATTATGGGATGGTTTGTTAATAATTGCTACTTTAAGGTGGCGTGTTGTTCGGGCGTAATATCGAAAATACGAAATTTTATTTTTGTCACTAATTATACTTTCCTCATTTTTTTTAACAACTTCACCGATTAGCGCAGCGTATTTTTTGTTACAGATTATATTTTACATTCCTCTTCGATCGCGCATGCAATATTGAAAAAAGTTTTTTCTTTTTTTTCATTGTTTCAAAGTTGATGCACTGTCATGGAAAAAGCATGGACCAAGAGAGATGTTTAAAAAAAAATAATAGAAACAGTCTAATCTAGAGAAATAATTATTAAAGCTCTCTGAAATCATAATTCAAATGCTGAAATAAAAACGTATGCTAGAAACAAATTCGCAAGCTAACATATTGTTATCAAAAATTAAACAAATACTATATTTAACGGTCATAAGCAATTTTAAGGGACGATTTTAGTTGTTTTAATGCGCCAAATCGGTAAAGAATGTTTCTTTGCCTATCGCGATAATTCTACCTAGTGGCTAAACTAGCTTATAGTGCACCCTTTTCAAAATCTAAAAGTTTGTGAAAATGTGAGCTCTTTAATTTTCTTTGAAAAGCCACGATGGAAATATTAGTATTAAAACCATTTCTTTTAATCATGTAAGGAAAAAATTGTTTAAAAGCACTAAACAATTGCCTAGATGGTGTTTGATTTTCTGTCGGTGAACGGTCTCCTGGACTTGGTCTAGCCTTGTTCTGGGCCAAGAGGAATAAGTACCACCACTTACATTTTCCCAGCAAATAAACTGGTTTTAGTTTGACAGAGTTTCACATGTTCCTTTTTTTTCCTTACATAAATAATAATTTGTGATCCTTAAAGATATTTAATTTTTTACAAAGCTATATATATATGTATACAGTGCGACCTAAAAATTGAGTTTATACGTACTTAGGTGTATTCTTATAATGGTGCGAAAGTTTAATTTTATGCAAATTAATTAGTACAGAGAATATTTTAAGTTTCGAAATCTGGCACAAAAATGCAATTGCTCAAACGAAACATTTTTTTCCCTCGAGCGATTCGGTTTTCTTGACTTTCAAAAAATAAGAATGAGGCCACAATTTAGAAAATATGCTGATCACAAAAGTTTATTTATCTCTTTAAAATAAATTTAAATCAGATCTAAATTTTCATCAATTAAAATTTAGATCTATTAAATATTTCTTTTTTTTTTCTTAGGAAAATTTTGCTTTAACTCTCAAACTATTTAAGAAAGAAAAAAAAATTTCTTTGCACACAATAATGAGACTCGTTTAACCAAAAATAATTGCATACTAAAAATATGATTTTTTTTAAATATAAATTTAAGAAAATTTGAAAAATTTTAATTGTAAGATATTATTTTTACATCACTTAAATTTACGCAATTTTTACTGGTAAGGCTAAAATCTGAACGGAATTTAACAAATAAAATTTATACTTCTTTACTCAGGAACTATTTGAACAATATCTTTCAAATTTTGTATTTTGTCATTTAAAACTTTTGGTCACCTGGTCAAAAAATTTAGCAAAAAGACATAATAGTCATAAAAATTTAATTTATACTTTAAATTTTATTAGTTATGTACGAATTTCTTTATTAAGAGCAAAAATTGTTTGATTAGTTTAAATATTTCCAGAGATAATCTGAAATAAGCAAAAACCGAGCATTAAAAGTGTTCAAAGTTTTAGCCTCTTTTTGATTTAACTATACTATTGAGACTATATTTTAAAGATTGCGGGCATCTCTATAATTTAATGATGAAATCTAAATCCATCGTAAAAAGCTATGTTTTATCTGGGAAAAGTGCGTTTAATGAAACATTAAACAAAAATATTTTTTTATTTAATTTAATAATGTTAGAAAAGAATTTTTATTCAGTTTACGCAATTTGAAATAGAAATATTCAAAATTTGATCGCAATCAAATCAGTTGAATGGTTCCTGAAAAATTTAGTCGCACATTTTTTTTTTCAATTTGCGAGAGTTCACTATGTTGCTTAGGACTGTGGGAGATAGCACTGTAAACTAAAGAAACCATTGTTTTCTTGGAGAACGGGTCCCGCAGTGGACTGGTCGTTAAGACACGGTTCCCAGCAGATCACCGAAGTCAAGCATCACTGGCTACGGTCAATGTGCGGGTGGGTGACAACTTGGATCAGTCTGCGTAGGGACCGAGAGTGTGCGGTATTGGTCTTCGCTAAACTATTCTATCGTAAAGTGCTCGACTTCACGCGCAGGTCGTCGGGCTACTGAAGCGGGGGTGCTATCCCCTCTGCAGAGGATCAAAATTGTGATGGTACGTCTTCGGATCATCCTCAGGGATATTTCCCAGACCGTCGCCAATAGCCCATTGTGCAGCTCTAGTACGACGTAAATGAACTACAACAACAACAACCTACTGATAGTTGACCGTGTAAAGCTAAGCGCAGATGGTGCTGGAGACAAAATTCACTGCTAGACTGCCGGGTTATTACTTCCGACTGAGTTTTACGGCTAAGCTTGACAGTACGAGTCATCCAATAATATTATGCTTGTAATGTTATCAATATTGTGTTTTCAACGAAACAAATAACAAATGAGTTCGGAAGAGTCCGCAAGCTTGCCGTGATGCTATCCAAAAAATAACAAACGGCGCTATTTTACACAAATAAAAGGAAATAAGCGATAACACTCAAAACATAGCAAACCTTTCAGGTTAGAATTTATATATTAACCGGTGAGAATTTATAAATTGCACAAAACTCTTATGAATGTTGTTGTAGTTTATTTACGTCGCCCTAGAGCTTCACAATGAGCTATTGGCGACGGTCTGGAAGCATCCCTGAAGATGATCCGAAGACATGCCATCACAATTTTGATCCTCTGTAGAGGGAGCCCCACCCCCGCTTCGGTAGCCCGACGACCTGCACGTGAAGTTGAGCACTTTACGGTCGAACAGTTTAACGAGGACTGATGCCGCACGCCCTCTGTCCCTACGCAGACTGATCCAAGTGGTCACCCACCCGCACACTGAGCGCAGCCAATGATGCTTGAGTTCGGTGATCTGCTGGGAACCGCATCTTAACGATCAGTCCACTGCTGGACCTTATGAATGTTATAATTATGCGTGCTCTTTAAATATTTTTCACCAATCAAATTCTTATTCTCCTCCAAATTTGCACCCGTGAATTTTTCATGCATACAGCAAAAACGGTTCCCATTCTTTTTTTTTTTTTTTTTAAATTCATCTATATTATGTTAGTAGATAAGCCTTTCAATTAACCATTTTGAGAAAGAATTTATAATGGCAACCACTTTTCTAGTTGAATCGTACTTCGTAGTTGTGATATTTTAAGGATTTAAAATTGTATTATTGCAATTTTATAAAGATTTTTTTAATTATTATTCACATAATTTTCTAACAAACATTGTCTATACAATTCATAATTGCTTCCAGTTTCCTATCAGTATTATTATTTTTTGCGTAAATGGCTCCTGATATTTTCTAATTGCAAGCCCTGATTTTGTTTACATTGCGCGGTGAGAACATCCCACAGTTCAAAGGTTGCTTCATCTGACGTTTTCTTAATGCGTTTTTCCTGAATGGTAGACATAAAATCAGTAAGCGTGAAAGGAGATATACATCGCCGAAATTGAGTTCTGTTTCATCTTAGAATATAAGCTTATGAATAAGCATTTTTAGAATGTCTGCTGCTAAAATTGGTACGTTATGATTTTCAATAAATATTTATCTTGATTTCTTTTAACGTTTGTATTTTTTATTGTAATGTTAAATAAGTATAAATCATTAATTCAGTTGAAAAAATATTTATTTTGATACCGAAAAAGAAAAAAGCTTATAAAATTGCACTTGTAGAATGTCTGCTACTATTTAATAATTTAAAATTTTTATTTCTTTTGAGGACCATCTTAAATATAAGTATTTAATGAAGTATTATTTATAAATTCAAGTGTAATGTTTGTTTTTTTTGATTTCGGGATAAATAAAAGATAAATTTATTATGGGATTTATAAAAAAAATTCAAAATTCAACATGCTTAGTGTTGCAAATGTCAAAAATTTAAATCATAACTAAACGTTGCTTTAAAAAATAATACGTATGATACTTTCCTTCAGGAGTGATTAAAATCTGCTCAATTGTTATTCTTTGTAGTGGTTAGAGGAAGGGGTACTTTTATTGTTGTGTTATTGGGTTTTTTGCACTTTATTGAAATAAGTACCTATTAATATAATATAGTACCTTTTTAAAAATTCAACATGCTTAGTGTTGCAAATATAAAATATGTAAATCATAATTAAGCATTGCTTTAAAAAATAATACGTATGGTACTTTCCTTCAGGAGTGATTAAAATCTGCTCAATTGTTATTCTTTGTAGTGGTTAGAAGAAGGGGTACTTTTATTGTTGTGGTATTTGGTTTTTTGCACTTTATTGAAATAAGTTCCTTTTAAAATAGAAGGGTTATTTCCATATTGATACTGGTTTTCACCAACTACTATTGCGGAGATATATTCTGTAATGTAATATGTAATGTTAACTACAATCGTCGAGACACCAAATGAATTTTAAATTGGAATATTTTTTTAAAAAAAGAATTTGGAGGTTTACCCAGAGGTGGCTATGAGTAATACCCTTCGAGTTGGTCCCACTTTGTGGTTATTATTTTGATTTCTTGCAGGCTGCTGCTCGGAAGTCGTCTATTGCAAACATGGCTATTTTGGCAAAGTACAATATGGAAATCTTCCTGTCTTTAATATTTAGCTGTATTAAGACCCATTTTTACATAATAATCCTGTTCTTAGTTTTTTTTAACTAAATGATTAAGATGTGAAAGAGCCATGTTAAATTATTATGTTTTTAAAATTTTTAAACTATGTTCAAAATGGGGGACATGTTATATAATTGCTTTTGTATAATAATTAAATAAAATTATTTCAAATGTTGCGTATTACTGAGTATATGTCTAAATTTAATAATTGTTTTTTTTATTTTTCGGAATTTTATGATACAAAATATTATAAATGATACAAAATTATCATAGAAAAATTGATATTATGTAAAGTTCTAAGGGCTTTTTTACTACAGCGCGAATTTTTTTTCTATTGATATCTGTACCAAAACTGTTGCTGAATTTTTGATTACAAATTGAAAACTGAAAAAAGCATATAATCGACCAAACTCCTTAGTTGCCTTTAGGCAAGCTAATATAAATTTTTGCTTTTTATATATTATCTTTTTGATAATTTTACAACACTGCGTCTAAATCATTTTGTTATCTTTTATATTTATTTTTACATAGTACTTGATCAAAAAGAAATTGACATAATACAAATATAACTTATTAGGTATAGAAAATGAGAAAATATTTAAGTTTATCGAAATCCAAAGGCTGTTGCTAGAATTGCATTTTATATTTAGGTCTTTTGAGGTTTATTTACTTAATATATAATCCTGTAATTTCTCTTTTATGGTTTTTAAAAATCATGTAATTACTTATCTAAGAGTTGAAAAATTACTTATAATATTTTCAATACTCATTTTCGTTTCAGGCATGAGGTTTGCAAGGGTTGTTGGTCGTTTTCTCTTTGCCAGTTTTATGGCAATTGCGTTTGTTTTTAGTGGAATTATCATCAACTTCTTACAATTTTTGTTGTACATCACATTGTTCAACAGGTTTCGAAATTTCTACAGGAAGATTAATTACTACTTAATATATACTACATGGGCACGTAAGTAAATGTATTCTAAGTTATTACATTTCTTATATTTGTATCATGTTTAAATTTGCCATTTGCATGATAATTTATTGAACTTTTTGATGAATTTTAAATTTGTTAAGTTCAAATTATGTAACATATGTTTGCTTTTCGACCATTGTATATTTCTTTTGTGGTTTATTAAGTTACGAAATGTCTCATATATTTTTTTATTATTTTACCATGCTGAGTGCTGTAGGCAAAGAGTTAATAATAACATATACACACACATACATGGTGTCCATAAATGTTGCGACAAATTTTTAGGTAAAGTAGGGCACATCATAAGGATTAAGAATTACCTAGGAAACAACCATAACCGGAAATACAATTTTATACTACTAGGGGAGATTTCCTATTGTAGACATGTTTATGTGCCTGTTACAGACTTGTTGTTCAAGGCACACAATGTAACAGTTCATCATAAGAGAGTACCCTTAGTTTCATACGATAATATTACTATACGCCACTAGTTCCTGAATTATTTTGTCTCGTAGACCTCAGCCAAGTTTTCCGGTTTTGGGTAGACCCCTGCTTACCTGATATTGATTTTTTGTAAATTCATCAACTTCAAATGTATTTTTGACAGCTGGTATAGTGCTACTCACTGTGAAAGATTTAAATTTCTAACTGTAGTGAAGTGTAATGTGAAAAACTAAAAAAAGAAACTCATGTTAATTTTATACATTAATTAACAAAATTCAAATTAAAACGAACCTAATTAAAATTTAGTGTCTGTTATATAAAATAATTAAGCAATAAATAAATGTTTTTTAGTGGTAGGGATGAACCTGATGCTTTAATAATAAATTATCAACATTTGGCATCAATTTAGTTACGTTTAATCTCGAATCTCCTCAGTTAATGATGTCCAGTCTGTTTCTTTCTCTTTTTTTTTTTGTTAGGAGATTGGCAACTGCACTGAAACCCCTTTCCACTACGTATAAAGACGGAAAAGCAATTAAAACCTTTCTCGCGATATTCCATAATATGGGATAAGTATATATGCATTATGTGCAAGTTTTTACCAGTTCAAATTGTATTTCGTCCACAAAGCGAATGCCTACAACTTTCACAATTTTATGAAACATACTAAATTAGTTTAATTAAATTATTCCATTCATGAAATGCCAAAATTAATGTCAGGACCTGCTTATATGAGATCCACTATCGTTGACCCCCATTCGCATTTCATGGACCCCCAATTTTTTTTCACTTGACATGGACCCCTTGCAAGTTGTCGTCAACCCCTGAGGGTCGATATAGACCACTTTGGGAATTACTGCTATATTCAATCTAGTCATTCAGTAATCAGCATTGAATACGATAATCCGGTCATGGCTTCCTAGGTAATTCTTAAACCTTATGATGTGCCATATTTTCCCTAGAAGTTTGATGCATCATTTACTGAACCTATATATATATATTTATAAATATATATAACGTCATTGCTGAGTGGAAGGATTAAAACAGGTCTTAGGCAGGGAAGGAATGTACAAAAATTTATTAATTATTAGACAGAGAGCAGCTGTAAACGTGATCACGAAATGTGTTCTTCATTGTATATTAGGGAATATCTTGCAATGTAAAGCCGTAAAATGTTTCGATTTGGGGAAAGAGAGAAATTTTAGTCATTGTAATTGGTTTATCAAATAGGTTGCGCGATTCCCACAAAGAGTAAAGGTGAAAAATATCTTATTTTTACTTAATGCATGCTTGAGGCAAAAATAGATTTAAGGACAGGATGTGAATTTAAAAGTGTGAGAAAGTGTTTCGATCAGAATAATAAATTAAGAAGAGTATTTACTGAAAAGAAATAACTTTAAAAGATTAATTGAAGCTTTTTATGTTACATATATATAGCAAAAAATTGATAATCTGAAAAAAATTCTGAAACCGAATTTTTAAAAGGTCTTTTGCTAGAGAAAAATGGTGTTTTTTTCTTCTAATTTTTAAAAAAAAACTTAGTTTAATAAGTAGCAATTTTGTTGCAAATTCTAATTGTAACAGAAGAAATATTTAACCATTGTGATATATTTGTCCCTTTTCTATTTGGCTATAATTGAATTCATTTTTTTATGATATTATGCCATGAAAATTTCAATCCTCTAATTTCTGTTATCACTTATCAACGTGCTTGACACCATCGTAAATCTGTTTTTAGATCTTTTCTTTTGTAGTTGGTGCACTTGATTTTCTTATGGTTTATAAAATTTGGATATTATTACAACATGCAAAGTTTGAATAGTGCATTTGAGTAAACAATTTTTGATGAGCTTGATTTGTGTCCATACCATCTTAAATCCATGTGTGTTTCGATCGTTTTAATAGTTAATAATTTATTTTCTGACAAAATTTTCTTGCAGTTTCCCTGATCAAAGTTACTTCTTCAAAATCTCCTTAACGAGACATTTATTCCACCCTAACCAGCACCCTCTTTCTCTCGCGCGAACATTTGAAAGATTGATCGCTAGAAAAGTGTTTTCTTCTCGTCTTTTTAAAACTTATATTTCAATGAGTAGCAATTTCATTACAAGTTCCGATTTGTATCAGGAATAATTTAATCAATGTGATATAGTTTCTCCCTTTTTTTTCAATTTGCTTGCATCGATCTTATTGCTTGCATTGATCTTATTGCTTGCATTAAATGGAATAAATTTTTAATATGATCGTGCAGGATAGAAATTTTGAATTGCCATTTCAGTTATCATTTTTCCACGTGTTTGTACCATCTTAAATCCGTATTTCGACCTCTTTTATTTTTCCTTTTGCAGCTAATGATTTTCTCATAGATTTTAATATACTAATGTCATTACGACACACAACATTTTAATCACACATTTGGGTAATCACTTTTTGACACGCTCGATTTGCGTGAATACCATTGTACATACCATCATACCATTGTAACCATGAGGTACTTCAATAGTTTTATTGGCTATTACGACATGCAAAATTCAATTCGTGCATTTATTAGTCTTTTTTTTATGTCGCTTTTTCACTGTTTTTTTAAAAAAATTTTAAAGCAATTTTTTTCATGGTTGTTGCTATTGAAATCCAATATACTTTTTTAAGTTTCAATATTTTCATATAATATTATTAAAAAACGGGAAATTTGATTTACGTGTTCGAGCAATTACTTCTTGACAGGGTCAATTTGCTCTAAATCCATGCAGTGTTTAGGTATTATTAAGCTATTTATTTTCTGGCAGTTAAAGCTGTTGATTTTCACATGATTAAAATTTTTTAGTACCCCATTTTTATTATAACACAGTTTTAATTTTATTATGATACGCATATGAGTGTTCACTATTTGACGTAATAATTGCTTCATTTATCAATCAATTATTCAGCAGCTACTTATTTTCACAGATTTTTTATAATTTTAATACAATATTTGTTATAAAGTGGGAATCTCAAAATGCACATTTAATTAACCCCCTTTTGACTCATCCAATTCAAGCAATTTCATCGTAAACACACTTGATTTAATCATTCTTTTTTTAGCTATTCCTGTAGATTTTAGTTTTTAAAATCATTTTTTTCTTTATGTGATTATGACATGCTAAGTGCAAAAAAAATGAGACGTACTTTTTTTCAATGCTTGTAATCTTTTAATAGGCATATAAAAATAAGTATCACGCAAAAAAAAAAAGAAAATTAAGTACTAAACACAAAAAAATTAAGTACTTTGCACAAAAGAACGAAAATATAAGTACTTCAAAAATATACACTGAGAAAAAATTTTTTCTTCTATTATTCAATTTTTTCTACTTGCAATCATATGTCTGAAATTGTGATACATATGTTTTTTCTTTTGATTTCGATTCATGTTTTAGACCAATGTTGAAATCAAAGTTAAATTTTAAATAGTATTAATAATCCCATAGCAGAAAGTTCTTGCAGAAAGATTTTTCCCTTTTGAAGTGAAAAGTTTTCGTTTTCTTTACTGGAGGAATTTTTGAAATATTTTTTACATATCTCTATTTTTTATTTTAGAACGAAGATTAATAAAAAAAAAAAAAAAAAAAAAAAAAAAAAAAANAAAAAAAAAAAAAAAAACAATAAAATAAAATGTGTTATTTATTTTTTTTTTGCAGAAATTTTCAAAATATGTTTTTTTGTTTGTTTGTAGAATTAGTTTCTAAAGATGCTTTTTTTGCCAATCTGAAGAGAAAGAAATGTTTCTGTGATTTTTCTATTCTTTTTTGAGAATAAAATAATTGATAATGACTGGCTTCAGCTAGAATTTTAATTAAATAATAATATATGTATAAAAAAAAATCCAAAATCACTGAAGTTTCAAAGATAATGCTCTTTAAAAATAAAAAAATTTTTTCTTTTTTTATTTTACATTTTAATAAAATTTGATTTTAATTCTTTTTTACAATTTCTTTCTGTGTCTTTCATAAAATTTTTAAATACATAATTTTTTTTAAATATTTTTAAAAGATCCTCCAAAAAGCCCAATTAATTTTTTTTATACCTTAATTTTGTAATTTTTATTCAACCCCCTTTTTATTTCAAGATTTGTTTTTATCTAAATTTGAAGCAGTTATGGATAGAAGCATAGTCATTTCCTCCATTACTCAAATCTAAATTCTTTTTATCATTAATGATGACTCTACAATATTTCCATTTTTCCTTATTTGCTTTCTTGCATCTGTCTAAAGAAAAATCTAGATCTTTGAGACAAAATTACTAAGAGGCTTTTACCTGAGAGATTTGATTGAATTGTGCATTCTTTGATAAAGGAAAGATAAACTCGTGTTCATTTCTCTCTTTGTTGTGATCTCATTTCATAGTAGAATACATTTGATAACTTTCCTCATTCTCTTTTTATTTTTTTTTTCCATTCAAGGTCATTACGCATTAACATGTGTTCTAGTGATACATTTGATTTTATTTTTTATTTTATTTATAAGAGCAAAGGCTGATGTGATAATGATCTGGATGCATTGATAAGGAAAGTTTTCACTTTATATTATATAACTTCTCAATTTGTTACACTTATTACTTCACAGTTTGTTGTTCTTTGTTACTTTCAGGCAAATAATTGTAAATATTTGTAATCGTGGTATATTTCTTAATGTTTATTGAAAATTAATTTCATATTTAATTATCAATTTTATAGTTAACATATTTTTAATGTTTTTTCAGTAAAAAGAATTCTTAAATCACAAGTAATTGATGCTAAATAGGGAAATATTTTAAATATCAAGTATTCAAATAAAAATATTATTTTGAATAAAAAAATAAATGTTCTCAGTAATTCAAGGAAAATAATATGCTTAACAGTTTTTAGGGGCAAGGCTTATGAAAAAATATTTTTACTTTTAAGGGCCACAATATATTTAATTTTCATGTCATTTATCATTCTTTTGTTTAATGAATACTGTATGAATTCAGACAGTAATTTTTAAGACTAAACAAAGTAGAGCAATTGATTATACATAACAATGTGTGCTAAATTTTAATTTATTTTTAAATAAATAAAAATTTAGCACGCATTGTCTTTCCTAGATATAATGAAGTGATGATTTTTTATTAAAAATGCAATAAGAAAGATAAATTATTAATTAAGTTCTTAAGAATATGTCAGTAGTATTGGGTAGTACGAGGGTTGCTATTTATATTTCTGGCCTAGTAATGGAAAAACAAATATGTAGGATCGAAATTGGTTTTATTGTTTTTCAAAATATTCTCCATGATGATCAATACACTTTTGCATGCGTTTGAACCAATTTTCAAAGCACTTTTTCCAGTCCGATTGAGGTAACTCCAAAACATGCGTTTTGAATGCATCAACCGCTTCTTCGGGGGTCGAAAATCGTTGTCCACGTAATTTATTTTTGATGTGTGGGAATAAGAAGAAGTCATTGGGTGCCAAATCAGGGCTGTACGGCGGATGACCCATCAGTTCGATCTTTCGCTCCGTCAGAAATGCCTTTGTTTGAGTCGATGTGTGAGAGCTCGCATTGTCATGAGGAATAACGATTCGCCTGTTCTTCTGCTTTTTTCGAATTTCTCCGATGGGCAAACAAATGGTCGTGTACCATTCAGAATCGACCGTCCTGCGTTGCTCTAATGCCACTGTTGCCACATGACCCTTAATGCCGAAGAAACAGGCAATAATTTGTTTCGATGTGCTTCTTCCTCGAACAACTTTTGTTGGTTTTGCCTCGTCTTGGAAGACCCATACAGTTGATTGCTGTTTTGTTTCCGGCTCATATGCATAGATCCATGATTCGTCACCTGTGTAGATGTTATACACAGCCTTTGATGTACCTTGAACGTATTTTTCCAACATTTCCTTGCACCAATCGACACGAGCCTTTTTTTGAGCGTTTGTCAGATTATGCGGGATCCAACGCGAACAAATTTTTTTTACGCTCAAATGTTCATGCAATATTTTATTGATGCTAGTCATACTAATGTCCAAAGACGCCTCTATCTCACGGTATGTCACATGACGATCTTGCTTTATCAGTTCACGCACAGCATCGATCTTTTCTGGCACAACAACGGATTTTGGACGACCTGCACGGGATTCGTCCTGGATCGAACATCGACCACGATTAAATTCGTTATACCAATTTTTTACAGTGCTGTAGGATGGCGCTTTATCGCTGAATAAAGAATTAAGTTCATCGAAGCACTCTTGTCTTGACAATCCACGTCGAAAGTTATGAAAAATAATGGCACGAAAATGTTCACGATTCAATTCCATTTTTTGAAAGAGAAGAACTTTTCAATTTACTGTCAACAACACAAATGAAGATATAATGTTAAATCGTCTGCTGAATTTATGTTTAAAAATATCAAACTTTCGATTAAAATCGTCTGCGGTCGCCTAGCAACACTTACTGTTGCCAAGACCAGAAATATAAATGGCAACCCTCGTATATCAATAGTTCCGTGTGTTTTGAACATGCATTTAGTGTTTTGAAAATGTTGAAAAAAGATATCCTTAAAAAATTAATTTTAAATAACTAATATACAAGAATTAATCTATTACCATTTCACCATAATATATTTTTTCGTATTTTACTTTACTAACACAACAATAAATTAATATGCAAATTAAAAACTAATGTGTCTGAAAGGAGACTAACTGAAATGTATGAGATTCCCCACTTTACAAAAGAAATTTCACGAAAACAGTTTTTTTACTTAGCACCTAAATTATATAATAAATTACCATTTCAGTTGCAAAACATCAAAATATATTCTTCTTTTAAGCGTGCTTTATTTCAATTTGTGATGAACATTGACGATTTAGATCTCTATTTTTCACTTTAAATGAAGCATTTGATTTTTTATACCAGTCTTGTGCCAATTCATATGAATTTCTTATGTTACCTTTCTTAGTCACCTGGACAGGATTTTCCTCTTGGCGACGAATATATATCCCTTTTTATTTATGTGTTTGTTTTTGTTCCCAATAAAGTTTTTGTTTGTTGTAAAAGAAAAAAAACTTTTTTTTTAAAAAAATTATGCAAGTAATGTTACTTTTTGATCACTCATAATGCTGATTGTAGAGCTGGGGATAGTGAGTTCTGTACTGGCAACTCACAAAATAACAGGTGTGCATAGGCAGCTAGGTGCACATTAAATCTGATATGACTGAAAGTTCTTTTGTTGGTTGTGGTGTTGGAGTTTGGAAAGAGGGGCACTATGTCAGGTGCTGTCATATTATCTGAACGGCGTCAAAATTATGTAATATTCCAAACATGGTCATTGAAATATAAGAGTCTAAAAATGGGGCTAAGTGCTTAGTTGGGTTGATATGGGTTGTTTTTTGTCTACATGGTGAGGTCAGCACATTGACCATTTGAAAGCAGCATGTAGCCCCTGTGGTGTTGGTTGTGCACCTTTAGAACAAATGTATAAGAATTTATATATTAGAATATTATATTTACTTCTTTGTAAAATTTCTTATTAAGAAATCTTAGTTATGCTGAGTAATTCTAAAATTAATAGTCAAAGCATCATGTAATTCTAATTATGTCACAAGATCATAAACAAATTATTTTGAGTTTTCATCTCTTGTAGACAAGAAAAATATTATACCCGCAAATTCGAACTGTTATCAGCCGAAATTTGCAATGCGATTTGTGTCATATTAATTTTTTTCATTCATCAAAAAATTTTTATCATTACTGTTCTGTACATTTTTGAAGGAATATTCAAATTGTTAGATAGATTGACAAAATGAGCATAGTAGATAATGTTTAATTGAATATTTTCGTAAGTAAAGTCTAGAAATGTCAAATTCATATTTTGTTAGAAATATTTCCCCCTTGAATGTCACACCACTTTAAATGCACAAAAAGAAGTTAAATATTTGTGCATTTTTTAGTTTTGTTTTGATGATTTTTCTTTATCAGAAATATAAATTTCTTACAACAGTTGATATAAAAGAAAATGCTAAAAATTTATCCCAAGATTTTAAATGTTTAATTATATCTATTTGCTGTAAATGGAATTTTATAAGATTTTTTTTTTTTTTAAATATTTAGAAGTTGTAGCTTTTGCACAGTGGTGGTCAGGGTCTAGAGTCAGAAAATGGGGTGCAGAAGAAGATATAAAGAAATTTGGGACAGAACATTGTTTAGTTATAATGAATCATAAATATGATACTGACTGGCTATATTGTTGGATGACTTGTGAAGATTTGGGAATGCTTGCGGTAAGTTAAGCATATATATTTTTACTTTATTTTCTTGATTTGATGCTTCCATTTTAATTAAATTAGTTAAAATTTCTTTAAGAATTTAAGAAACTGATTTTTATTTCAGAATGCAAAGAGTTGTGCTAAGAAATCATTAATGAAGATACCAGTGATAGGATGGGGCTGGATATTTGGTGAAATGATATTTCTAGAAAGGAGTTGGGAAAAAGACAAAGTCACTTTAGGTCCTAAACTTGACAACCTAGTTTCGTATGAAGATCCCATTATGGTGATTTGAGCTTTAATTGTTATTATTCTTATTGTTATTTTTTTATGTATATAAAAATTCCTTTATGAATAGTTAATTTTTCTCAAAATACTTAATATTCTAAAATGTTTATATGCACTAACACTATCTCATCTGCTTTTCACAACCGTATATCTTACCAAGCTGTTAATTCAATTTTAATGTCTTTGAAAATACTGATGTAATCTTTGCTTTTTAGATCTTATATTTTTGTGAAGGCACCCGATTTACTCCAGAAAAGCACCAAGCTAGTTTAGAGTTTGCTAGGGCTAACAATTTACCTATTTTGGAGCATCATCTATCTCCACGCACTAGAGGTTTCAACTTTACTGTGAAGCATTTAAAAACTAAAAGTAAGAAATGTTTCAACAATTTTGTTTCAGTAGTTAGGAAAATGTGTACAATTGTTATGTTAAAAGTTATTACTCAGTTTTAATCACATATGACAGGGGTCTGTTTAGAAGAAATTTGGGTCCGTTAACGAACCCTTCACAGAATATCTTTTCATAAAAACGGATCCGTCACAAAATATTTTAACTTAAAAACGGGTCCTTCACAAAATATTTTAACTTAAAAACGGATCCTTCACAAAATAATTTATCTTTTAATCAGCCCCTTCACGAATTTTTTTATCTTCATTATTGTTTTGTTAATCGAATAAACCCTTACCAGGGAGGGGAAGAAAGACAGATGTAAACGAACTAAATTTTGTCTTCGGCAGACGCTTCTTCCTTTATTTGTCCGAAATGAATATTCTGCGTTCAGCAGTACAGGCTAAATACCAAATATTTATATGTTGCATCGCTAATAGTAGCTGCAATTGCTGTTTATTTTTTAAAATTTCTTTTTTTTAATTATAATTTTACAGTGTTGAGCATAATCGTGTATGTCTTTACAATTTAAAAACTCCTTGAAAAAGTTTTTTTGTAATAACAGACCCTATTTGCACAAATTCACAAAAGCGGACCCTGGTTGAAAGAATGTGACCTAACATTTATTTTATATTCACAAATTACGAGTAAGTTTTTCAGAATTTTACAAAAACGGACCTTTCACAAAGTGTCTGGACAGACCCCTGTATAAACAAAGTTTTTTTTTTTACATTCTTTGTGATGCTAAGAGTGACATAAAGATAATAAAAAAATTCCATAGATTTGTAAGCATTCATTTTATTTCTCAAATAATCTCAAATCTCTTATATGGTGCATCTAGTAATAACATGAAATTTCGGTACTTATTTTATATTTGTTACTGAATTTTTTTAATATTTTTTATACAAACTCCATTTCTTGTATTGCTTAGAGTGGCATGGATACATAAGAATTCTCTTGGTTCATGAATATTTATTTTAATTCTCAAAAAATAATTTGTGTTATATGAAACTTGTTTTGCATGTGTTCGTATAATTTGTCTCAGGGCTCGAAAAACTGCCCGTCCTCGGCGGTCAAAAATTTCCCTCGGGCAACGAATTTCTCGAATTAGACGTCCGCGCGGACGACCATTTTCCGTTAATGCTCGTGACACTTTTTGTTATCTTACAAGAGTCTAGCACCTCACTTCTAAAATGACCCTCTAATCCAGAAATCCAGTACAGCAACATACTGCGCGTGGTTGATTGATGTTTTTTTTCCGTCTGGGAGTACTGCAGCAGTTGAAAGGGACTTTTCAGCAATGAACTTACAAAAAAACACATTACTTGAGCGTTAAAAGCAATTATAAACATCTACCTAAATGGAAAACTCCTTTTAGATTTCTGTGCAGAAACCTCTGTAAATCATAGGCTTGATTGTGGAACTGGCAAACGTCATATTTGATTCATTTAAAAAACGCAGTACTCTAGGTTAAATTGGCTCTCCAGATAACTTGATCTTTGTCATTTAAATTATTTCATAAAAGAAATACTAGGTTTTACTATTAGTAACCTAGTATTTCTTTTACTGTATAATGTAATCCTAGTAGCTACTAATTCATTGTATAATTTATATAAATGTATGTAATAAATAAGAAAAAATAATATTTTTATTTATTTAGAAGCGACGGGTTAGTTTCAAAGGAGACCAGGTACATTGTTGGACAAGCCGTCTTCGGGGACGGGTAAAATTTTTGAGTTTTTTCGAGCCCTGATTTGTCTACTACTGAATTTATTGCATGGCATTTACAATTATTCAATCTGATATAAACTAGTATTTTCGTCCTCGTTGGGATCNTTTTTTTTTTTTTTTTTTTTTTTTTTTTTTTTTTTTTTTTTTTTTTTTTTTTTTTTTTAACTGTTCTATCTGATGTAGAAATTTGTTCAGAGTATGTAGTAATTCGAATAACCTGAAGTTTTTTCAGACCCCTTGAAGACTTGTAAAAATCAGGAAAGTTTTTAATTTCTTTGGCAAAAAATTTTAATTCCACCCTGAAGAAAAAAAAAAAATTAGAATTTTAGAAAAATATTTTATTATTAGGAAAAAAATTGCAATTATTTTTTTGTCCTATTCTTTCCTTACAATCAAAGAAATTTGTCGTAATATGGTTTCGAATGAGAAAAATACCTTTAGTCAATTTTTTTCCTTAAATTTGTTCCTGTTAAGAGTATTTTTGTATATTATGTTATTAAATGTACACGAAAGAAATATGAAAACAATAGAAATTTCTTTTTGTAAATATAATATATTATTTTAAATATAATATATTTTTTTTGGGTATATATATATTACACAATTTAGAATGATTTTTAAAATTAAAGCTAAGTAACTTATCAGTTTTGATCTTTTTCAAACAAAGGACAATTGTGAAAAATTACGATAGTTTCTCTTGAAAAGTTAGTTGTAGCGGTAATGCTTACTGAGACAAGAAGTATGTCATATCTTAAGAACTCATGATTTTTAAAATTTTTTTTAAAAATAAATTATTAAATTAATAGGGTGCTTAATGTATTATCATTTGTGTTAAAAATTAAAAAAACAAGTATGTTGGTATTAAGTATTTCTCTTTCCCAAAATTATAATGTTTCAATTTTGGGAGTTATTTATATGGTATATCATATTCTTATTTTTGTTGAATTTTTATATGTTATATTCATAATCTTCCACGTCATTTTAATTCTTTCTTTGGACAAACTGCAGGCATGTGATTCTTCCACGTATCGGCAGAGTTCAGCTTTTTTTCAGATTATCCCATTTTCCCCGCTAATTTCTGCTAAAAAAAATTTTTGAATGAGTCAAAATATTTTATGAGGAATTTAATTTTCCGCGGAGCAAAAGCATTGAAGTCCTCATTCCTCCCTCTGAAGTTTCTCTAAAAATTAGTTCATTGGGATAAAACTGTTTGACCTTTATACAGGGATGAAACTATTTAGCGGATTTCCGCTTTTTTCGCTTTTGTCTCTCAAATTTTCGCCTTTTTATCAAAAAGTCCGATTCTCTAAAAGTTTTTTTTGTATTTTTTATAAATATCAAATTTTTATCTTTTTTTTTTGAAAATTCAGTTGTTGAAATAAAATAATTATATTTATTTACGATTTTTAAAGATGAACGTTCTAGTTGCTAACCTTATTTTAGCTATTTTCTCCGATTTTACGCACAGAAAATAGGATTTTCCGTATTTTTATCCGCCCGTCGGATAGCTCGTATTTTTGTAATTCAGACACTGCTTCCTGTTTTCTGGCGTGAAAGCAAACGAAAAAAAAAAAAAGAAAAATAGAGGTATTTTAGGTGAAAATATTTATTTGCTCATTCAATTAATCTTGTAAATTTCTATTTATTATGTCAAACAAAAACAATACAAGCAAACCTTTTAGAAATTCCAAGTCCAGACTCTTCAGATATCTCAATTCTTATTCATGCCATTTTAGTATCAATAATCGATTTTCGTCTTTACTCGATTTAAAAGTTGCGCATTGCGATTCTTATTTATGCTATTTAAATATTGTACGTTATGATTCTTATTTACGCTTTTTAAATATCGTATGTTATGAGTCTTATTTATGAGATTTAAAAATCCCATATTGCGTTGCGTATTTATGCATTTTCAAATTCGTGATTTTATTATCAAACATTGATTTTTGTATTTACCTGATTTAAAAGTGGAATGTTGCGATTCTTATTCAGGCGATTTAAATATCGTACATTGCGATTCTTATCTACGAGGTTTAAAAATCCAATATCGCTATTTGTATTCACACGCTTTTAAAACTCTATGTAGCGATGACTCTATGGTTGTAATATGAAATAACGATTTTTGTATTTATATGTGCTTTAAAAATTTGACATTGGGATTCGTTTTTGCGCGATTTAAAAATTAAGCATCGTGATTCTTATTTATGTAATCTAAAAATTACCTATGACGATTTGTATTTTTGCATGTTTTAAATTCGATATAGAGTTTCATATTCATGTGATTTAAAAGCACGTGGTTTAAAAATCCAATATCGCGATTCGTATTCACGCAAGCTTAAAATCCAATGTCATGATTAATTTTTGCGGTTGTAATGTCAATTTTCATATTTATGCGTGCTTTAAAAATTTGACATTGGGTTTCGTTTTCGCGCGATTTAAAAATTACCTATCACAATATGTAATTTTGCATATTTTATATTCGATATAGAGTTTCATATTCATATATTCATACAATTTTAAAATTAATCATCGGGATTTATAATCACATGGTTTACAAGTTTAAAAATCACACTTTTTTTGTGAAACTGAATTCTGCAGACTATGTAAACTTGCACTGAATATAAATATAAATATAAAAACATTTGCCTGTTTTTTTTTTTTAGTTGCTGCTGTCTATGATGTGCAGTTAGCATTTCCTGATGGTCCAGTGAAACCAACATTTGCCAACATGTTAAAAGGGAACAGTTTTAACGGAGATATCCACATAAAAAGATATCCAATGAGTGAGATTCCTACTGACTCAGATGAAGCTTCGTCTAAATGGTTGCATAATTTATATGTTGAAAAGGTATTTTATTGCTGTCTTCATCTTAAGTTATATTGTTTGATGAATTTGTAACTACAGTTAGACTTCTATTTAACGAACTTCCATTTTGTAAATTTCTCTATTAAGCGAANTTATACTTAAAATTTAGTAAAATATTTTAGCAAAAATGCGAAAATGCTTTGTTGAATTTTAGCATTTTTGAGAGGTCTTTTCGCATTTTGCGAAAAAAGCTACCGTAGCGGAAACCCTGTTGTAACTACAGTTAGACTTCTATTAAACGAACTTCCATTTTGTAAATTTCTCTATTAAGCGAATTTTTTCGAAGAACCATTATTTAATTTATATTTATAAAAATTAAATACTTAATTCAACTTTTATTCTATGAGCATTTCAGTTTTTTTATTGTTGAATTTATTTTTAAAGTAAGATTTGTTTTGTGTGATATGATTAAACGGCATTACTTTTTACCACTTTTCCTATTTCAATAAGTTGTTTTAGATTTGAATGGAATAATTTCAGCCTTGAGAAAAAAAGTATTTGTTTCAGACTTGGAAAAAACAGGGTGGCCACCCACCTGGAAAACCTTGAAAACCTGGAATTATCAGGGAATTTTTTTTATACTGGAAAAAACCTGGTAAAATCAGGGAATTATGGATAAAAACCTGGAAATTTTTTCTTATATATTTTTTTAATTTCACTAATTTCAATTATTTGCTAATTTTCTTAATTTAAATTGTTTCATCCATTATACCCACATTTTTTTAGACGGAAATGTATCTCTAAACAGTTAAAATATCATCAACTTACTTTGCTTTCATCAAAATTTGCTCCATTATAACCCTGTTAAACTAGAATACAACATAAAATTCTCCCAAGGTTGCTAAGCAAATGTAGAAACCTTTGATCTCTATGCAGACTATGGGACTGTGCAATTTAGGAAAGGCAAAGATTATGGTGGAAGACGGGGTTAGGATTCGGTTTTTAAATTCTCTTTTAAAGTTTGTTCGCAATTGAGAGTGGTAATTTTTTTCTATTTTGACAAAATGAGTCAAAATGTTTTTGTATTTTTAACTTCATTAAATTCTCTGAAAATTAGTTGGTTATAAATAATAGATTTTATATTGCACTCTTTTTCTGAAAGCTTTTGAACTTCCATTCAAAGAAATCTGTAAATTATTTTTTCTCAGCAAACCAACCAATCACGCATTTCCCCCCATCACTAACAGCAATGTTGCATGCAATTCTTGCATTAATGCTAATTTTTTCTATTTCATTTTAACCTTTTACAGTATATTTTTATTTTGAAAAAAGTTTTTTTTTAGAACTAACTATGTATTAATATCAAATTTTACGGTTTTTTTTGGTAAATATTAGTTTTTTGATTCAAAATTCGAATTGTATAGTTATCACACTATCAAAAGTTCGTAAATGTTGCTTGCATTCCAGAGATGATATTTCAAAACTATTCCTCTTTTTACCTAAAAAAGCTGACAATGACTAAGGAATATATAGGAAACATATTAAATGATGTATATACATAAAATATAATTTTTTTTATTCATATGTGTTTAGTCAGGAGAAGGAAAACGAAACTTAGTGTTTTAGTTCTGCATTGTACAAGATTCCAGTTGTTCAAACAAAAACAATTAACTATGCTAAACTAAAAAACTGTGTGTTTAGATTAGAATTCTTTGAATGTTTTAATTTCAAATAAGAAAAAAAAGAAAAATCAGAAAAGTATACATTTTAAGGAATTTTATCTATTTTTTTTCTTCTATAGAGTATGGAACTAAAAATTAGACAATTTTACATTTCTGACATTTATTTTTTTATACTGAATCTCTTAATAAAAATGCTATTTCAAAATACCATTATTTAAAAATTTGACTTGAGATATTGGTTTAAGGAAAATATGATCAGTGAATTTTATAAAAAGCACTGGTAAGATGAAATACAGTATAATGCAGTATACAGTACAGCTTTATATTGAAATGTAATTACAGTGATTCACAAAAGTGTTGATACACTTATGACTTTCAATGAAATAAGACTATCCATTAATTAAAATGAATGTTTCAGAATGTATATTTAATGATAAAAAATGTGTTCTAATCTTAACAAAACTGAAATATTTTAAATGACAGTATGAAATATTTTAAAAACAAAGGAAAAGTTTATTTTTAAGGAATCAATCATCAAAAAGTGACAAAAACTTTATCCCACAAAAGTCATCATACACTTTTAAAGAAAAAACTCAGTCTATTAGTAAGTCTAATTTTTCGTTAAATTAACATTTAGTGGAGTTTCCTTTAGCATCTACAATAGCTTTTAAAGGTTGAAAATACGTGTAACTAGTTTTTTTTTTGTCAGGTGAAATTCGTACTGAATATTTTTTAAAAATTTTTATAGAAACTTTTAAAAAATTTTTATAGAAACTTTTACAACACTCAATTGCAAATTTATGAATTTTTCCACAAAATTTATAATTTTAATCTCTGATATGAAGTCCTTCTTTTAAGCATTTTATCACATATTGCACAGTTCAATTGAATATAGTAAACTAATTTAACAT